CCAAATGCTGGCTGAGGCTCAGCGCGGGGCCTTCAGGACAGAGGAGAGGTTAGTGTGTTCCCGGGTGCAGAGCCTGGTTCTCTGGCTGCTCAGCCATGTCCCCTTTTGATGAAGTCATGTGACTTCTTTTCATAGCTGGCCCCAGCATGTACCTGGGGTGCAAGTGCAAATAGAACACTATTAACATCGGTTGGGAGTCCTCCTCTCCTGCAGCAGTCAAAGCAAGCCAGACCTACCCCTCAAAGCAACCCTTGCTTCCCAAGCCGCAGGCTCCATTCCTGCATTCTGCAAAGAAGCCTGGTACTAGAAATCTAGATTTGAATTTAGAATGACTGGATTCCGCAGGGCCCTGTGCAGAAATATGCCAAGTCCCAGTCTCTTCTCAACTACAGTTTCACTCCAAACGAGAGTCCTCCGGGACACGCACATAGACATCCCTATCTGCACAACTAAGATCTGGGAGGACTCTCTCTAAAGCACCCACGGGAGCCGAGCTTCTGCTATGGGAACACCCAGAAGAGAAGGTCGGGTGGAGAAAAGGCTCATGGGTGTCCTCAAAGGAGATTCGGCCCCTTGAGACAAAGACTCCATAGTCCCCAAGGGGGCAGGCAGGTGCCGGGAGGGCTCATCTCCATCTGATCCCTCCCACGAAGGGAAGGGATATTGGCTGAAGGAAGCAAGAGCTCTGAAAGCATGGGGCTTGAGGCAAGACCCCTCTGGCACAAGGTGGCTCCAGGTTCTTGAGCCTGTGTTCCATATGCTCAAAGGACCACAAACAAGCCCTCTCTAGCATAGTTGCTCTAAGTCACCCAGTGCTCAGAGGTCGCTGGCCTGAAACAGGTGCTTGGGCACAGTCAGCACCATAAGGAACCTGAGTTGGGTCCTCTGGAACTAGAGTTACAGGCGGTTGCCAGCCACCAGGAGGATGCTGAGACCCGAACCCTGGTCCTTAGCAACAACGACTGCTTTGAACCGCCAAACCACCTCTCCAGATCCCAGCCCTGACCTTTACACTGACACAGTTTGGGAGTCTTTTCTTCCTTGATTTAGAGAAGATCCGATGGTGTAGCCTGTCCCCACCAGGCTGGCGGAGCAGGGGGTGGCCCTCGAGGAAAGGCTACACAGTGTATCCTGAAGAAGGTGCCCTGTGTGAGGTCACTGACCAGATCAGAGCAACACAGGGAAACACTCAGGGGCCCTACACGGTGGATAGAGAGAGAGCTAAGGAGCCCAAAGTGGGGTTCCATGGAATCCGCACAAATTTCGGCCACCACCGGCTGCAGCCCACATGCCAGGGAGCAGAGCTGGGAAGCCGGGGGTGGTGCAGAACCCCGCTGACAGACTCCACATCTCAGAAGCCCCAGAGAACCAGGAAAGCCAGAAGCCAGACTCTCAGGAGCGCCAACCCCACCATACTCGTGGGGAAATGGAAGCCCCGAGAGGCCGGTCCAGGTTACGCTCACAGGCAGCATTCAGGCCCGGGTTGGAACTTCTGCAGGTTGGGAATCCTGCCATCACAGCCTTGGCATGTGCTAGGAGGCTGGCGATGTTGAGCCCAGCTCCAGGGAAGGCCAACCCAGCACTACCCGTGTTCCTGATGAACTTAGATCCTACTCTGCCTTTTATTTACCCTCAGACCACAGAATCTAGTCTCCGGGCCATTGCAGGCTAAAAGCATAAGTAATGACATTATTTAGCATTATTGAGCACAGGGTCAGAAACTCTATTAGATCCTTTCCGGATTTATCTCATTTAATCTTCAAACATCTCTATGATCTGGAAACTAAGACTATTTCTCTTGCATTTTGCACTTGAGGAGCCTGGAGGCTGAGGAGAGTTGAGCAGCATAGTGAAGGCCGTCTTTCTGGGAGTGGGAGAAGCACACACCCAGCAAAGCCTCTGTGTTTGTGAGCACTGCGCCACCTCAGTGTCCATTTAGCGCACAGTGTTCTATCGCTGAAGGGGCCAAACAGCCAGGGGTAGGAGCGGCCACCAGAGGCAAGAGGGGTCCCAGAGGCACAATGACAATAGTCGTGCTCACGGGGGACATGAAGGCCCATTTGTGTCGGCACCCACCTCTCCTTCGAGTCCTTCTAGAAGCCTGCTTTTCTCCTGACACTGGCTTGCTTAGGAAATGGTCCATATTCACCAAGAACCCCTGTCTAGGGATCTTGGGTTTCCACTGGGACTGCAGCTTCCACATACAACCACCAGAGGGCGGGCCAGCTCTGTGGCCATGGAGTACCCTGGCCTGGCCAACTGTCTAGGCAGAGATGGGCCTCCACGACCAGGCCACAGTACCCAGGTTCACTGTGCCATCGGTCTACTGCTTGGGGTCTCCAAACATTGTGATGCAAAGTCCATCACGGGGCCTGCTTCTAGCGGGACAGCCCGTACCAGAAAAGCGATGGCCTCAAAACAGTAAGGAGGCCAGCTCGCTCGGGGAGGTGGAGATTTTATGTAGCCTGATGGAGTGAGTGCTACATTCGCTATGTACAAATAAGGAAGGAGGCATAAGGAAGGAGTGGATGGTTCGGGTGCTCAGAGGAAGCTGGTGCTCAGATCCAGCGAGCCGTCAGGAAGTACAGGGAGAGGAGGAGAAACAAGGTGTGGGGATGGCCATGGGGAAGACCAAATAGACAGCGGGATTCCGGGAGAGGATGCTAGCCACCAGCCCACCCGCCACCAGCCTCCCTCAGCACCTGTTGGACACACTGTACGAGAAGCGAGAAGCGTCTCCTGCCCTCAAAACGCTGGCAGTCTAGAGGGGAAGTGGTGAGTCAACAGACACTGGGAAACCCGGACGCCACCTGCACCTGCACGAGGAGGTGCCTCAGAGCGCTTGCCCGGGGAATCCCGGCCTGGGCTGGAGGGCAGGCCTGGAGCAGGACCCTCTCCCCACAGCTCGGCCCAAGCTGGAGCTCCCCTCCGAGCCTTGGTGGCCTGCCAGTGCTGGGGCCGGGGTCCCCTCCCACCCCTCTCCGAAGAGCTGCGGCCCAGGGAGCCGACGCAGCGCACCTGAGTCAGCCGCCGCCCACCCGCCCTCAGCGTCTGTCTCCGCATCTTGTGATATTTCGCTCCCTGGGACCAGCCCCATTGCGCTCCGGAGGCAGCTCGGCAAACAAACCCGGCGACAGATTGTGCCGCGGCTCATTCCGGGGAAGGACGCCAAATCCCACCCTGCTACCCCCAACACTCCCTCCCCACCGCCCCCTCCAGCATCCACCCCCCCTCCCCGGAGCGGGCCCTGCACAGGGTAGGACCCGGGGAGACGCAGCCTCCTAAAGGGAGACAGGAACCCAGACAAGCCCCTTTCTGTTTCCACCTGACCTGGAAAGGAGACGCGCGAGGGAAAAGTCAGGGGCTGCCGGGCTGCGCACCCCGGAGGCAACAAACCATAGAGCCAGCAGGGGGCACTCCAGCGCGAGGGGCAGGACGGCTAGGAGGGCCGCCGCCACCCCACCCCACCCCCCGCCACCTGCCACCCGGGACCCCGCCACCCCGCCAGGAAACAAGATGAAAGCGGGGAAGGGGGTGGGGACAAAAGAGAGACCAAGAAACGTGTGCAGACGTGGAGAGGCCAGGAGGCTGGGAATCACACACACACACACACACACACACACACACACACACACACACGCAAAGAAGACGGAAGGCATATGCATATTGGGAGGGAGGAAAGGACAGAAAGGGAGGGAGCGAGCGAGGGAGGAAGATGGGGGTCATAAAATATGAATAAGAGGTGGGGAGAAAGTGAGAAATCGGATGAGTACGGGAGAAGAATGACGGATTACACAAAGATTATGAGAGGAGCGCGGGATGAATGAGGAGGAGACGAGCATTTAGAAGGCGCCGGCTGTATGCCTGGCACAGACGTGGAAGAGGAGCCGGGGGCGCGGACTAAGCGCCAGCAGGGTCCGCCTGCGTCCGAACGGCCCTGGCCCCGCGGCACGCACCCGCCCGCGCCGCGGGCCACGGCCCCCAAAGCGGCAACCCACGAGCATCCCTCCCTTAGCGACTCCCAGGGGCCGAGTGCCCGGCACCTCGGCTGTCCGGGACTGGCCGAAGACGCCGAGGCCTTTAAAACGGCTCAGGGGCTGGGGGTGCGGCCAGCGAGGGGCCCCCGGGAGGCGGCCAGCACCCCGCCACCAGGGGAGAAGGTCCCTGGAGCTAACGGTCCGCTTCCGCTTCTGGGTTCTCTTCTGCCCCCTGGCGAGGGAGGAGATACCCCCTTCGGGGGCACATCACGTCAACACACACACACACAGACATGCACACACGCGCGCGCGCACTCCGCAAGCACACTCCAAACTCACACCCGTTTGTAAAAGCGCTAAGCTACACGCATCACGCCCGAACACATTCGCCCTTGGCAGCGCATCCCAAAGCCGCGCGCGCGGCGTTTCCCACAGCCCTCGGGGGGCCCACGAGCGCATTCACCGGCGAGCACGCGCGCCCCCGCCCGGCCCCCCGACGGCACTGAAAGGCCGCCAAGGGCTCCCCGGCCGAGCGTCCGCGCGCCTGCTCCTCTGCTCGCACTAACTCCTGTACACTCTGCCCCTGTAGGTGCGCACGGCGGCCCGGGAGTCCGGGAGACACAGGGAGCCAGAGATCTTGGAGTCGTCTAGGGGGACGGGGCAGGAGGAAGGGAAGCTACTCCGAAGCTGCCCACCTTCTCTCCTGGGAAAGTTGGAAAAGGACCCCCCCCCAACCCCACCCCGAACGACCTTAACACTGCTGCGTGCGAGCGCGCACCCCAAAAAGCGTCTCTCCAAAGGCAGGGCGCCGAGGGGCTGTGGCAACAGCGCCCTCCCACCCCCCAGGGCTGACGGGGCCGAGGAGGAGTGGGCTGGCTGGAGAGCCGCTCCCGCCTCCCAGCGGCCAGCAAGGGGTTAAGCCGGCAGCCAGGAAGCGAGGGAGGAGCCAGCGAGTGCGGGGATGGGGGGGAGCTTCTCCGCTGTCCCCACTCTCCCTCGGCGTGCAGCCGGGGCGCACGGACGGCTGCCTGGCTCCCCGCGGGGCCGCCCTGCCCGGAGGGTGCGGACCTCGGGCGCCCCGGCCCAGCCGGCCCTCTCCATCCCGCCGTGCCCCGCCCCGCCCCGTCGGGGCCGATGGCTCCACGCGAGGCTCGAGGTCCGGGGGGCGCAGGGTAGAGCTCCGCGGCCCCGCCACCAGCCCGGGTACTCCCCGGGTCCTCCCGGAGCCCCGCGGAGTCCCCGCCGTCCGCCCGGCGGGGTGAGGGAGCGAGTGGGAGCGCCCTCCCCCCCGCCGCCCCCTCCCCCGAGCTCCGAGACAAGATGCTGCCCGGGCTCCGGCGCCTGCTGCAAGGTAGGGGGACCCCGGCCGGCGGGCGGCCCGGGAGAGGGGCGCCCCCTCTCCCCGGGCACGAGGGTGGGGCAGCGAAGGGGGTGGGGTGGGCAGGGAGCGGCGAAACCGCTGAGCGCGGGAGCCGCGCCTCCGCCCCGGCGCTGCCAGCCGCGGGAGGGCCCGGGCTCGCAGCCCGCCGGAGCCTGCGGGGAGCTCGTGACCGCGGGAGACGCGGAGGGCAGACGGCGCCGGCCGGCAGGAGCAGAGGAGGCTCGGGCTCGCTGTCCCGGCTCCACCTGCTCCGGGGACGCCGAGGACTCGGGCCGGCTGGGGAAGCGCCGACTCAGCAACTCCTCCCGCTCGGTGTCTCAGCACTTTCCAGCCACCTGGGAGGCCAAGCCTTGTGGGTAGGGGGCTGCCTGGGAATTCGGGGGGCGGACAACGATTTCCCGGTGGCCCTGCCTAGGCGGACAGATGGAGGGGCTAAGAGGAGGCTAGTTCCCAGCGCTGAGTGACAGCCAAGGGTGTGGGATGGAGCCTGGGGGCGGGGAGGGTAGGGGTCGGAAGGAGGAGGGGAGGCAAGATGAGGAAAGTGTCTAAGGAGGTGGGGGTGAGAAAGAGAAGGTGGGGGCGTCATGGAGGAGGGGTAGGAGGTGGGAAAAGGTTAGACGACCCGGGAGCTTAAAGGAAAGGGAAGCCGAGGTCCAGGGGAAGACCAAGGAAAAGGGGGGGGGGGGGGGGGGGGGGCCCGTTCAGGGGCGGGGGAGGGGGGGGGGGGAAAGGGGGGGGGGGGGCGGGGGGAGGCCGTCGCAAGGGTGAGGACTGGGGCTCTGGGAAATCGGATGGGGAGGGGATGGGAGGCTAGAAGCCAGCGGAAGCTGGAGGTGGAGGATAGCAGTAAGGGTCAGATGCAGGGAAAATGGTTACCAGGGTCGGGTCCGGGATCCCTGCGTGGTTTGAGATGGACTAGGTGTCAGCAGAAGCCAGAGAGGGAGATGGAAGGGAAGCGATGGGGTGCCCCGGGAGGAGACAAAGAGGCTCCCGGAAAGCACTTCCACGTGGAAAGCCCTCCATTCCGAAGCGCCTGCCGGCTCTAACCCTTCTTTCAGGGAGTAACTCGTGGGCTGGTCCAGGCGAGCCTGAGCTTGGGTCTGGGTCAGCTGTAAGGGAAGGAGGGCGAGCACTTGGCAGGGGGTGGCAGCCTCCTTGGGGTGGGTACCTGGGCTGGCTCAGCGCTGCCATTTATATCTCCGAGACCCGACGTCGGATCTTGCCGCCCCACAGTAGCTGCTTGTTTTGGGGTGTTACATTCTGGCAGAGTGAGAAGCTGTTTGCAGCAGCTTTAAAACCTCCAGTCACCTGCATCAGGGCCTCCCCAGGCCCCTGCGTCACTGGTATGCCATCGCCCCCATGCCACTCCCAAGGCCCCCGTCTCCTCAGCCTCTGCCCCCTCAGCAGCTGCCGGGCAGGCCCCTGGCTCTCCCCTGAGGCAGCATTTGAGGTATGGAGATGGTGCTTGTATTGGGACCCTGCACCCGTCTTTTAGAACCAGAAACCTATGTTTCTGGGGACATCTCTGTCCTGTTATGGTGCACCCTGGTTCCTGCCTTGGACCCTGCCCCCACCCCTTCCTCCTCAAGTTTCCTATCCCCAGGGGCCGCTGGTCTAACGGTTGGCACAGGCTAAGAACTTCATCTCAGATCCTGGGTACTCCAAGGTCTGGCAGCCCTTGGACGTTGACCGTGATCCCTTGGTGAGCGGGTCCTTTTGGCTCTAGGTACCTTAACCTTCCGGGGATCAATATCGTGTGTGGGCTCGCTCCACTCTGCTGTCCTGTGGCCAGATCCGGCTATGTCTTTGGTCACTGGTCACCTCTTCTTGGCTCTCAATTGTGCTGTGCCTAGGGCCCAGGAGTGGACATCTGTGGAGAGGGCCTAGGTCCCTTTCCCCACCTTGACCCTGAACATACAGACAGCTAGCAGTGTGGTTATCCAGAGCTTGAGCATGTGGGCACAGTACCCAGTTCCCTTTACCTCTAGGCCAGCGTCTCCTGTCCAGGGGATGGGGGGGGGCTCTAAGAGAAAGGTATGGTGTGTCTTCTGACCACAGTCCCGCACTGTCCCTTCTGCTCTGGATCCCATATTGCTCGTGCACAGTGAAGTCTCCCTCCCTCCTAGAGAGGTTGGGACCTTTGCACTATTGATCGAGTGGGGGCTGTGACTGGTTCTGTGGATAAAGAAGGCAGCGTGAAAAGCAGAGTGCTGGCATGCAGTGGTGCTCAATAGCAGATGATTCCTCCTCCTCTGGTCCCACATGAGAGGCACCTTGGGGGCTTACCTGCTGACTTTAGAGGAAGGGGTGAGCAGAGGGTGAGGGGGCTTGCAGGGAAGGCTTTCCTTTGCCGTCACCGCACGGGAGGGAAGAAACCCAGGACAGAGAGGGGTTCTACCCACCAGAACCCCCTTTCTGCCCTCCAGCCCTCAGTGATTTCCTGTCTCACGAAGGTTTGATCCAGATGGCGGCTGAGGATCCCCGGTCCACCTCTGGTACTTCGCCCAGGACACACACAGGGGAACTCAGAGCGTAGCTGAGGCCCTGGGGGAGTGCGTGGAGTGGCTGGGAAGAGATGTGAAGAGCAGGGCTTAGGGAGGGGACGTGGGAGGAAAAGGGCACGAGGGGCAGGGGACGGGAGGGGGTAGGAAAGGTGTTCGTCCAGCCCCCTACCTTGCTTCTGCCTGGAGTGCCCACTCCAACCCAGCCTGGGGGCACAGAAGCCCAGAGCCCCCCACCTTCCCCTCCCCCTGCCTCCAGTGAGAGCCGCAACCTGAATTATGGATGAAGCTCCTTGGGTTACAGCTGCTTTGCACGGCAGCCAGCTAGGGCCAGAAATGGCATCAGAGTCACTGTTACCAGCAGCTGCCTGGAGGCCCCCACCAGGGTCCCTCCTCAAAGGGCCTGCAGGGAATACCACCGAGATCCAGGGAAGAGAACCCTGCTGGGGGAGGCATGGACCGGGCAGCGGAGGCAGCGGTCGGGGCAGAGAGGAGGAGAGCTGCACGGGGAAAGTGGGGAGCCCAAGAGAGCTTGGGCAGGAAGGATGGGGACTTGCCAGCCCTGGAGGAGGCTGGGGCTGAGGGAGGGGCCCCCTGAGCCCGGGCCGTCTGGTTTGTAGCCCTCCTTGCTTTCTCTCCTCGGGTAGGGTAGCAGTCAGCCAGGCGTGGAGGCTGAGGAAGAGCCCGGTAATGGGGTGGGGGAGGGTGGCAGCCCTGCAGCTCACACTCTGGCGAGCTTCGGCTGGGGGTGGGATTAAAGGATCAGAGGAGGATTTGGCTCCTTTGGTGTAAAGTCCTTGGTGAGGCAGAGCTCAGAGAGTGAGTGACAGGAAGAGGGGGCCTGCACACCAGGTTAGTCTTTTTTCTGGCCCTTGTCCTGTACCACTTCAATGTGTGACCTTGGGTAAGTTCTTTGCCTTCCCTGAGATCCAGCTGTCACCTCCACAGGACTTACACGGGCTCTGAAATCAGTGCTCTGCGAGCCCGGCAGGGTCCCACTCTGGACTTCCACCCCCTGCTCCTTCCTGGTTAAGACCAGGGGTGAGAGACATGCTCCCCCACCCCACGTGGTTCTGAAAAACTCAGGAGGAGAAAAGTGATCGTGAACCGCCGCACGGGGGAGGGGTGAGAAGGACCGAGAAACGCGGAGGTGGTGTGAACGAATGGAACAGCCGCGCTGTGTCACTGAATATTACATCACACCCAGCCTACACACGCACGGGGCCCAGCACTCACACACGCCACACGCGGAGGGCCGCCAGCACAGGCTCGCTCACTCAAACGCCAGGAGGGCCATGGAGACACACACACACACACACACACACACACACACACACACACACAGGCAGGCAGGCTGGGTTGGCCTTGGGAAGTGCCTGAAAGTGAAGCACTGGGGAGCACCCTGAGGAGGGGCCAGGGAACTCCACTCTGTCAGAGCGTGGCTGCTCCCCAGGATGGGGCTCAGGGAAGCCTGCCTACCTGGCTGCATGGTGCCAGCCATCCGTAGTGAGCACCTGTCTCACGCTGCCCCCCATCACAGGCACACCTTCGTACACACAGACACCTCAGAGACATTACACTCAAACCTCAGTCGTAGCCTTAGAGTTCTGGCACTCAGAGTTACCCACCTCTCAGGCATCCTGAGCCCCTGGGACCCCCAAACCAGGCCTTCCTACCTCTGACTTCTGAGGCAGAAGGAATGGCTCCTGGCCTTGTGGGTACAGGCTCACCTCTCCCCACGCAAAGCTTCCCAGGAAAGTCCCAGAGGCTTTCTGGGAATTCTGATAAAACTAAAGCCAAGTTCTGCAGCACTGAGGCCTGGGGGCCTCCTTGCTCCTTGGTGGGGCCAGGAAACACTGGCACCCATTCTGCACACTTTAGGCACCTGTACCTGCTTTCCTGTCTGTAGGTAAGAGTAGCCCATACCCCAACTCTAAGTTACTTTGGGAAAAAACAATGTAACAAAGACTTTGAAGGCTGCTCTGAGTAAGTGGAGGAGCTGGCTCTGCGGCCCACCCTCTAGCCACTTCCTAGATGGAAAGGCTAAGGTTCTTTCAAGGCCTGCGAGGAGCCAAGGGAGGAGGGTGTGGGTCACCAGGACACCCACGGGCCTTCTAGTCACAGAGGGCCTCATCTTAGCGTCTCGCTTTCTCGAGTGGGCTGGTGTTGCTCCCAGAGGACATTTGGCAATGTCTAGAGACATTTTGATTGTCATAACTGGGGGCAGGGTGCTGCTGGCATCTGGCGGATAGAAGTGCTATAGTTTAGCACCCTAAAAAGGGCTGTCCCTGTCCCAAAGAATGCCCGGCCCTGCTTCGGTACAAAGGGAGGGGAAACCCTGACCCTTAGTCTTTCGACCCTAACTCCAAACAAGCTCAAACACACAACAATGCAGACAGGACTAAAACGACACCTGCTCCCCCGAACAACCTTAGACACATCCAGGTGCTCTTAGCGCTTGGGGCCCGCCTCTCCCCAGGCGAACTCCAAGGGGATCCTGACAGAGGGAACAGGTCAAGCTGTGGCCGCCTTTATCTGCTCCATTGAGGGCTAGAGGACAGGGTTGAATGACAGAGCTCCTCACTCTTGCATACCGTGGAGAACACAGGCATCCATTCTTGACAGACTCTAGCTCTCAGGAAGGAGGTTTGAGGCCTCTCTCTCTCACCATTGGCTGCTGCCTGTCCATTTGTCCCTCTCTGCCGGTCTCCTGACTTGCCTCCCCTCCATGTCTCCCGCTGCCCTGTACAATCCCAGTCTCGTAGTCTTGTAGCTGAGTCTTGGGGTGCCTCACATGCGCAAGGCCCGGGGTTTGATCTCTGGAACTGCATAAACTAGGCATGGAGCCCACCGCTGTTCCCTCAGCGCTGGGAAGTGGGGAGCAGGAGAATGAGACGCTCAGGGTCATCTTCAGCTAAACATTAAGATTGAGGGCCACATAAGACCCTGCCTGTCACAAAAAGAAAACAAACAGAAAAGAGAGAGAGAGAGAGAGAGAGAGAGAGAATTTGAGGGTTGAGGCTTGTGTGCCTCACACCAAGAGAGAAGTGATGTGCTGTGTGGTGCCAGGCCTCCCGGTGAGGCTGCCCACCCAGTGAGCCTCCTCTGCTCTCCCGACAGGTCCTGCCTCAGCCTGCCTGCTGCTGACACTCCTGGCCCTCCCTCCCGCGGCTCCCAGCTGCCCTATGCTGTGCACCTGCTACTCCTCGCCACCCACCGTGAGCTGCCAGGCCAACAACTTCTCCTCAGTGCCGCTGTCTCTGCCGCCCAGCACACAGCGGCTCTTCCTGCAGAACAACCTAATCCGCTCGCTGCGGCCGGGCACCTTTGGGCCCAACCTGCTCACCCTGTGGCTCTTCTCCAACAACCTCTCCACCATCTACCCTGGCACCTTCCGCCATCTGCAGGCCCTAGAGGAGCTGGACCTTGGGGACAATCGGCACCTGCGCTCCCTGGAGCCCGACACCTTCCAGGGCCTGGAGCGGCTGCAGTCGCTACATCTGTACCGCTGCCAGCTCAGCAGCCTGCCCGGCAACATCTTCCGAGGCCTGATCAGCCTGCAGTACCTCTACCTCCAGGAGAACAGCCTGCTCCACCTCCAGGTGAGCCAGCCAGCTCCCCTGGGGCTCCTCCCCTCCCCCCACCTCAGTGCCCCTCCTGGGTTCCCAGGCCAACATCCTGACTCAGCATCTTCCTCTACCTGATCCTCCTTCTTCCTCAGCATCATCCACCCCAATCAGTGGTCCTGCCTGCCTCTCTCTGTCTCTCCCTGACCCCCACTGCCTCTGCCTGTCCGTCTGTCCCTCTCTGCCTGTCTCCTGACTTGCCCTCCCCCGGATGCACGGCTCCCTCTGCCTCTTCTGTCTGTCTCCCTTCATGCACCCACTCAGCACACTCCCCAGTGTCTGTACAGCTAGCTCTCCTCTCTCCTGGAGCCTCAGCCCAAAGGCCTCTGTGTGATCTTTTCCCACCCACCTCCAAGTCCTCCCACTCCTCAAGCTGGACGAAGGGTGGAGTCATTGCTGGGGATGGGGTTGTCCATGGAAGCCACACTCTTCCCTGTGGACGGGCAAGAGCACAAGGGAAAATCTTACCCTTTCTGCACCCTGCCCCTTAAACCTGTTGTTAGGTAAAACTGTTACATGGCTGAAAAAAATGGATGCTGGAGGGGGCAGGAGTAAGGATAATTGTTATTTATTGTTATTATTATTGATCTAGTTATTATTTATCGTTGTTATTATGCTGCCTGGCGTTAAACCCTCACATCTCATTTCCCCGGGAAGCAGAAACGCGCCCTCCTAACAAACACCCAGGAGTATTTCCCCTCGTAGCAGAAGCTCTGGCTAGGTGGGGCCCCTCGCCACCTGAGCCCAGAAGGCCTAGCCTCCTCCCAGTCCAGGGCCTGGTCATCAGCCTGTGGGTTGGAAAATCAGTCCCACCTGATGCTCCCCACCACAGCAATAGAGATGGTAATTTATCAATGTATTGAGCATCCATAGCGCGCTGAATTATAAATACAACAGCCTTGGAAGCAGTATTCAAGTGGGGAGAGGGGCAGGAAAATGCATAGTGACTGGGATACTGTGTCTCATTGCTGAACAACAGTGATCAACTTAGCAGCCGCACAGTAAGCTGACACTGTGCTAGGCCCCAGACGAAGCTCTTTATAGACATCAACATTTACAAGCCTGTGGCAGTTTTCAAACCCAGGCCTCAGTTTTCTTTATCTGTGAAATGGGAGTAATGTGAGCATTCATCGCTCAGGGATTTTGTAAGCACTAAATGCATGAATAATTTGTAGTGCACTTAGAATAGTGCTTGGCATATATAAGAGCTACATAAACGCTTATTAAAATGCCATGTTTTTTTAAAATGAGCTTTATTTACCACTGGTCTCAGTGAAGTGCCCTAGCCTGAACCTCCTCTTAGAGATCTGGGTCAACACTAAGGATCATTCCCAGGCCATGGAGAGGATCCAAGACCCACCTCGTATTTCTCTTCTATCTAACTTTGCCGGGAACCACATGGTTACAGGGCGCACTCAGCCGCTTCAACCCAATGCCTGTGGGCCTCTGCGGGCCTCTCACCACCGGGTGCGCACCGCTGGAGATCCCGTGGATCTGTGGGCCATAAGTCCCTGGAGCCACTGTGCTGTGACTGGTACCTTACTAGGCCCCTCACCAAAGTGAGCCAAACTGCCTGGCGGCGGGGGGCGGGGACAGGTGAGGAGGAGCACAGGACGGAAGTGTCTGCAAGGACACAGCCAGGGGAGCTGGCATGGGACCCGCCTAGAACCTCCCTGCTGTGGAGGAATAGTACCCTCAGGGTCCAGTTAAGTGGCTAGGAGTTTTGGCTGGTATGTTTGCTTAGGTTTTTTGCTTGTTTCTTCGGTTGGTTGGTTTTGTCTTACGATAATGTCTCACGTACCTCAGGCTGGCTCTGAACGTACCATATAACCAGGGATGGCATCAAAATTCCTTTTTTTTTTAGATTTATGTATTTTTGTGTGTATGGGTGTTTGCCTACATGTACATCTGTGCACTACTTGCGCACAGAGCCCGATGAGGCCAGAAGAGGAAGTCAGAACTGGAGTTACAGATGGTTGTGAGCTGCCATATGGCGCTAGGAACCAAACCCAGGTCCTCTGAAGAACAGCCGGTGCTCTGAGCCGTCTCTCCAGCCCTGACCCTGAACTTCTTACTCCTCCTGGGTGATTCCCGAGGGCTGGGATTATAAATATGTGCTCGCACGCCGGGTTTATAGCCGGGGAACCCTGGTCTCTGGGTCCACGTGGCAAGCTTTCTGCCAGCTGAGCCTCGTCCCCAGGCTGTGGGCCCCTTTTTCAAAGCACCTCCCAGCCTCCCGGCTTTAGACAGGCTGTTCTTTCCAGCCTCTCGTCTGCATCGCTCAGGTGGCACTTAGTGGTGTTTATCTTGGTTTAGGAGGGTTATCTAGGTTTATCTAGGCTCATCAGTGATAAAACAAAAGGTACTTAACAGATGCTGCGCTTCGGTATGAAAGCACCATAGCTGTTGCAGGCTGAGGGCCCCGGCCTGAAGCACCGGGGACCGGTGTGTTTGTTGCAGACTTTGGAGGATCTGTATCTTCCAAATAACATAAAGAGTTATCTTGAAGGCAGGGCCTCAGTCCAAGCACATAGCTCATCCATGTCTCCTATACATCTGGCCTCATGGCCTAGAGCAGATTTCATTCAAACTTCATAGTTCTGCCCACGAACAAAGTTTCGTGGTGGGGAATTCCCCACCAGCGGGGACATGTCATTTTGCTGCTCTGAACGTTTTGGATTTTAGAGGATAGGGGTTTCAGGCTTTCTGATGCAGGGTGCTTGGCCTACGTTTTTAATGTTTAAATTACATTTACTTTCTGCGTGTAGGGGCAACAGGTGTGCACACGTGCCATGGCGCACACGGGGGAGGGAGAGGACAGCTTGGGGCAGCTGGTTCTCCCCTCCATTGTGCGGGTTCCAGCTACTGAACCCAGGTAGTCGGGCTTGGTATCAGCCACCTTTACAGGCTAAGCCACTCGCTGGCCTCGACTGTTTTAATTACTCCTCCTGTTTATCTAGGCGCCACTCAATATCTAGAAGCTACTCAGTATTTGGCTTTAGGGAAGGAGGCTCCATCTCCTCTTCCTAGTGGGGAGCCATGAAAATGATGCCTTCCACAAAGGCAGCCTGTGAGATGCAAGCAAGTTAAGTGTGGAGAGTACACAGCTTAGGGTTTAATAAATTACTCTTGACCTTGACGCTCAGGCCACAAGCAGCAATCTGTGCCTGGGATCAGCTAAGGCCCAAGCCTAATGAACCTCTAGACGATCACTGGGCTCTTCTGAACCGGAAACCGTTTTTATTTTTCTGAATAATCTTGGGCTGTGCAGCTTCGGGTGTCATGGGAAGGAAGCCTCTTCACACCCTGCCCTTTACAGAGAGAAGAGGCAGCCTCTGTCTGTGAAGTGCCTGCTGAAACTAGGCGAGGAGATGCCACAGCAGGTGAGGAACATGTGGCTCAGTGAGATCCTCAGGGAGCAGGCGTGACCTAGGACGAGCCAGCTTGCCCCCGGAGGGCTCTGGAGGAGACCCATCCACAGGATGTGGTCTGTGCACTGGAAATGCTGGAGGTTCTCACGGAGTGTGTGCTGAGGGCGAGGCACTGTGCCAGGCCAGTTCATTCACCAGCAGAGTCCTCACTCAGCACCCACTGCACACCAGGCAGCATGGATTCCGGGTGACAGAGACGGCACCCCTGCTCTGGTGGAGCCTGGGGGAGCCTGGCCACACGGTAAAGCTGCCTCTCCCCTTCCTTGATGGGGAGTGGCTTCCTTGATGTTCGCCGGCAGTACCTGCGCTCCGGCACATCAAGTTCAATCTGAGCCCTCTCTAATCTGCTGTGCCCTCCTGGTCCCTCCGTGAAGGACAATGGCCTGTTGCTCAGGGTAGGAGGTGTATGAGGACTGAAGGAGATGGCAGCTTGGATAGAACACAGAGTGGGTGGAAGTGGATGGCGGCAGTGAATTCACCAGCCTTGGAGGTGCCGGGGTAGAGGTGGCCCGGGTCTGGTAGGCGCTGCAGCACAGGTGCTGGCAGGACTCAGTCTTCTGGAGTTCATGCCCAGGTTAGCTGTTGGCCTAGACAAGTGGCTCGGGTTCTCTGACCCCTTCTCTCTTAGTTCCAAATAAGAGATAATCACAGCATCTGCCTCATACTGTTGATGATTAAGCTACTATCAGGATCTGTGCCACACAGGGTTTGGCATTCAGGGAGAACTTGGCAAATCACCTGCTGACGCCAATGGTTATGACACCTCCCATGGACGGGCAAGCGCGGTGAGCGGGGTGCCTGATGCACAGCGCACACAGAACAGCTTTGCTGAATGAGTGAGAGTGGCTCTGGGCTCACTGAGTCACAATTAGCAAATGCTCAGGGAACTTGAAGGATCAGCCACTCTAAGTCACTTATGGCACAGATGAAAACACTGAGGCCCAGAGAGCTGCCTGGCACTGTGCAGCCACACAGCCTGGGCGGTGATAAGAGCAGTACCAAGGCCAGGTACTGGAAGGCTGGAGGGAGGCAAGGCTGAGACAGAATGCTCCCAGGCAAGGCTGGGAAAGGATGTCACACTTAGATTCCAAATGGATGCAGAAAGCTCTGGACAGGACAGGCAGGAGGCGAGAAGTGTGGTTTTTGAAATGGAGGAGGATGACTTTCGAAGATGCTCCTAGCCCAGAGGGAGGGGGCATTCGGGAGGGCGATGGGAGAGGGCAGGGGCTGTGAAAGTCAAGAGCTCATTAATGCGAAGGTTGTAATGGCAGAGAGAGCTGCAGCCCAGGAAGTGGCAATGGGATTTGGCTACAACTTGGGTGGGGGGAGGGGAATGGACCCCAAGGCTGAGATTCAGCGTCAGGAGGAACAAGACTTCTGGCCAAGCAACACAGAGGAGGGGAGGCTGGAATACAAAATCAGGCTGTGGTTGAATACACCTGGGTTCCCTGGAGTGTCTGAACCTCTGTCTTCCCTTCCAGAACATCAAGTCTCCAAAGTAGTGCGCAGCCCAGTGCCACCCTCGTGTGTCCCCACGCAGGTCCTCTGGACACACTTCTCTGGGTGTGACCTGCTGCTGACTCTAGGAACAGAAACCCCAAGGGAGGGGTTAAGCAGAAGGACAGGAAAGGAGGAACTAGCAGGCGTACAGCAAGGCTGAGGCTACTGGGTAGCAAGCTAGCTGGACCAGAACAGGCAGTCAGGGTGGCGGCCTGAGGGCCTGCAGAGCACTGTGCTGGCGTCAGAGCTAGCAGAAAGGCTGAGGAGAACTGAGCTCAGTGTGGCCAAGAGGAGGGTTCTGGGCAGAGAGGGGGGAGGCAGATAGATGGGAGGAGGTGCGAAGGAACAGGCGGGGACACAGGAAGGTGGAGGCTGTGGATATGGGCCTGGCCTCAGCTCTCCCTCCTGGGGCCTTCCTCCAGGTGCCCAGGTAGCATGAGGAAGGAACCATCTCCCTGGCACTGGGGAGGGGGAGAGAACAAAGTTGGGGGATGACCCAGGGTGAAGGGGCTTGAGCAGAGAGGATGCTGTGTCCTGTTAAACCCAGATCTCCAGGAACCTACTGACCACAACATCTGGAGGACCTCAAGGCAGTGGCATGAGACCAATGGGTTTTTCTGCAGTAAACTCTTCGTATCTGAAGCAAATTTCACTTTTGATGGGTAGATCCTAAATACCAGCCCCCAAATCACACTGCACGGGTTGGGGCGGGGAGAAACCCAACTCAGGGCTTTGACGGTGGACAGGCAAGTACTCTGCAACTGAGCTATAGTGCCAGCACCAAGAGTTCCCTGGGAAACTGGTTAAAATGCAGCTTCCGCCCCCGTGGTCATCCACACCTGAGCCCTAATCCCAAGGTTCTTCCAGTTCTAGCACGCCGCCATGTGGGCACTGTGTCACACCGTAGGAGGGACAGTCAATCGCACACTGTGGCAGGGACTCCAGCTTCTTCCCTCCTTGCTAGGCCTGGGAGCCAAGGAAACTTCCAGCGGATGGGTTGTAATTCTAAGTGAACCCCTGCTGTCGTGACAACTGTGAATTATGGGTGCCTGACTGTGTCTCTGTCTGCTGCTGTGCCCACCATTATAACATCTAACCTTCCCTCTGTCTGTTGGAGAATCTCCTTCCCTTTCATACTAAGGGGGCAGAGGTTCTGTGAGGTTAATCGACTTGTCCAGCAGCTAGGAAAAGGAAAAGCTGGGGTTTGTGTCAGTGTTTTTAACTCCTGAGCCTCTGGGCTTCATCTCTGGGCCAAGACTCTGTATGCAGGAACTCTACCTGCCATGAGCCTTATGTGAACTCTCTTCCTTGTCCTCAGAACAGACCCCAGGGCTAAGAGCACTCACTTGCACTTTACAGAGAACCTCGCTTACAGGTAACCTGGCCACAGTAACAAACATGGCTAATTCCCGTGCCATCTGCCCATGTGAAAATCCAGGCGTCTTAATACATGCTGCTCCATTCGGTTGCCACGTTTACAGGCAAAGACACTGAGGCCCAGAGAGACAGAATGGCTTTTCCCAGGTATCCCAATCAGTTCGTCACAGACCCATGACCTGCCCCTCAGCCTCAGCAGCACCACCTGGGAAGGCGGGTCCCATACCTGCCGAATGGCATGCACTGGGAAGTTACTGGAATCTGAAAGGGACTGGGATACACCCCAAATGTAAGACTCAGGCAGGTGAGATGGCACTACCTCTGTGTGACGCTTAGTATCAGCTGCCATCTCGACAGGACCTAGATTCACCCAGGAGGCCTGGGCAGGATGGTTCATGGGAAAGGTGGCTATCAAGCCTAGTGGCCTGCGTTCTATTCTGGAAACCCATACGACGGAGGGAGAGGACCCACAACCACAGGTTACACACACTCATTCTCTCTCACAGGGGGAGATGGGGTGAGGCGGGGGTGAGAAGTGGCGGGGAAATTGTTAGATAAATAAGTAAACTTTAAAACTCTCTGACATAACATATTGTGTTACTGAGTGCTAATCCAGGCTACTGAGCCACGGGAATGGCACTGAGTGCTAATCTGAAAGGCTAAGGGCAGAGATGGCAAGACCCACCTCCGCTAAAGAGCAAGCGCAAAAGCTGCCTGGGCAACTCGGTGCGAAGCTGGGGCTGTGGTTCAGCGGTAGAGCTCTCGCCTGTTCTTGTACTGGCTTCAGTCCCTTGCAGCCCTGGGGACACATGACCCAGTGACCTCCATTGGGCAGCTTTTTCCATAGGAAATAGGTTAGAAGATAGAAGATGCGGGTGGCAAGTTCAGGACTCAGATTCAGTGGATAAGGTGCCGTGGATCAAGTTTGAAACCCTGGGCTGGTCCCCAGAACTACATAAAACGGTGTTTGTTAGCACAAGCCTGAAATCTAAGAAATCCAGGTGGAGGCAGGAGCCGAGCCGATCCTCTTGGTTACTGAGCGGGGATCCGTGTGTCTGAAGGGATAAGCCAAGCCCTTTCGCACTTCTCCACCCTGCCACCATGTCTTCCTTACCCTGCCCGGGGTCCCCGGACCCTGCCTCAGGCCACTCTCTTCTGTTTCCACCCCCGACTCAGGATGACTTGTTCGCGGACCTGGCCAACCTGAGCCACCTCTTCCTGCACGGGAACCGCCTGCGGCTGCTCACGGAGCACGTGTTCCGCGGCCTGGGCAGCCTGGACCGGCTGCTGCTGCACGGGAACCGGCTGCAGGGCGTGCACCGGGCGGCCTTCCGCGGCCTCAGCCGCCTCACCATCCTCTACCTGTTCAACAACAGCCTGGCCTCGCTGCCGGGGGAGGCGCTGGCCGACCTGCCGGCGCTGGAGTTCCTGCGGCTCAACGCCAACCCGTGGGCCTGCGACTGCCGCGCGCGGCCGCTCTGGGCCTGGTTCCAGCGCGCGCGGGTGTCCAGCTCGGACGTGACCTGCGCCACCCCGCCCGAGCGCCAGGGCCGGGACCTGCGCGCGCTGCGCGAGGCCGACTTCCAGGCGTGCCCGCCGCCCGCGCCCACGCGGCCCGGCAGCCGCGCGCGCGGCAACAGCTCCTCCAACCACCTGTACGGCGTGGCCGAGGCGGACGCGCCCCCCGCGGACCCGTCCACGCTCTACCGGGACCTGCCCGCCGAGGACGCGCGGGGCCGCCAGGGCGGGGACGCGCCCACCGAGGACGACTACTGGGGCGGCTACGGAGGCGAGGACCAGCGGGGCGAGCAGACGTGCCCTGGGGCGGCGTGCCAGGCGCCGGCGGACTCGCGGGGCCCCGCGCTCGCGGCCGGGCTGCGCACTCCTCTGCTCTGCCTCCTGCTCCTGGCGCCCCGTCACCTCTGACCGCGGTGCTCAGACGCAAGAGGCCGCGGCCTCTGCCTGGCTCCCCCTCTCTGCCCACGGAGCTGAGGCTCCGCCCTCGCCCCTTGTTAGCAGACCGGCCTGGGAGCCTGCCCTAGGGCTCCCTTTCTTCCCCCGGACCAGGCTGTCTCGTTTGCCTTCCGGGCTGTTCTGACGTGTGTGCGGCGGCCTCTGAGACAACGTGTACCAGGTGGCTCGGTCCCATCCGCCCTGGCTCTTCTTACCCCATCCCAAGGCTGGGGCGGGGCACCCCAGGCAGCCTTTGCTCCTCTCTCCGGGGCCCCACTGTGGACTCGGAGGGGCTTTTTCTGCAGAGCACCTTCCACCAGCAGAGCCTTTGAAAGCTCCCCCGGGAGCCTCCCCTCCCCCCACCCCGGGAGGGATGCCTCAGCGAGGCCCAGGCTGCTCCTGGACCCTGCTTGTCCTGACCCCTTCAGCCTCCTGACATCGGAGGAATAGTTTTCTCCTAAGTCTACCCAGGACACTTTTGAGGGTGCCTGGAGAGAGTCTCCTCTCCACCATGGCCCCTGTGTGGTGAAGATCAAAAGAAGTTGTTTGGGGGGAAATTTATTAAAAAATTCTATTATTTTATCTCCTGTAAGTTTTTCCCCCTCCTCAAGACCTCAAAAGCAGCCCAGTGGTGATGTTGCATGCTTTCATGCCTTTAATCCCAGCACTCAGGAGGCAGAGGAAGGTGGATCTCTGAGTTCGAGGCCAGCCTGGTCTACAAAGTGAGTTCCAGGACAGCCAGGACTACACAGAGAAACCCTATCTGGAAAAATAGACCTTACCAGCAGTAGGACATAGACCTGAAGGTGTTTAAGGGTGGAAGGGCTAGAGAAGGAGGAGTCCTTTCAGGCTACCAGAATTTCCTGCTGCGTGGACTTAAGGGTAACTCCACCGTCGAGGTCCTCCTGGTCCTCCTCAGGTTTCTTCTGTTTCTTGCGTTACCTGGGTGTTACGGATATGTGTACTGATGGCACCGATGTGCCCAAGAGAAGCAGCTCCCACCAGCCCTGGAGCATCTGGTGGCTGAGCAACTACGTGTGCAGGTGGGCATCAGCCTGGCCAGGCGGCATCCAGGAAGGAAAGACAGCCCCTGCCTTCCCTGCAGAGCAGGAACATAGACCTCCGGCCTGGGCACGGCTTTGAGCCTGCGTGGAAAAAGCTTGACTTCTTGGGGGAACACAGGGACGCCACGGTCCTGCCCTGAGAGCAGAAGCAGCAACTAGATTTCAGCTGTTTGCCTTCTTTGCTGAAAGCCCTGTGCGATGTGCTCAGCATACCCAGCTGTTCTCAATACCCCTAAGCCATCCCATCTTCCTCTCTTTGCTCAGATGAGGTAGCCCCCAGCCCAGGAAGTTGTCTGAGCAGTGTAGAAGAGCCTGAGAGGTTAAGGCAATGAAGGCACAAGGACTTCAAGCTGGGGCACACAGCAGTGCAGCTAGAAGCTCTCTCCTTCCCCCACCCTCCAATGGCCAAAGACAGACTAGGGCAATGAAGCTCAGCCCTGAGACTCGTCAGATGGATGTGGTCAAGGATCCAGAGCTGAGGATGAGGCCGGGTGGTGGGAATGGCAGGGACAGGAGGGAGCTGGGTGGCAGGAGTGCAGGACTCAGCTGTTACTGGGGTCCTAGAACCCCACCAGTGATGTCCAAGGACGGTCAGAAGAGCAGGAAGGATGGGCATCCACAGCCTGGAGCAGATGGGCTTTAGATACAAATGTGAAGTGGGTTAGGAGCTAGTGAGAGCAGAAGTCAGAACTGCAGAGTTCTGAGCCTGAGTTAGGCTGGCTTTGAGGAAGCTCTTGAGTGGGATTGAGGGGGGGAGGCGGGATAAGGTTGAGGGAGAAGAGGAGATGTGAGCTAGAGAAGAGCCTTGTTGGAGGAGGGGCTTCTGGGCCAGGGCAGGGGAGGGGAGTATGCTGGTAAATCAGAGGCAGGCTGTCCAGGTCACAGAATTATCGTTGTGAAATATTCATGGGCCTTCGGTCCAGATGCTATTTCAGAACAACGAGAGCAGGAGGAGTGTGTGAGAGCCTCAGGAAGAAGCCTAGAGCAATGCTGCTCCCCACTGGCCCCCACCGCAGCCACTGCCAGCCCAGACAGACCAAGGGATGCCAGTCACGTGCACACCCCACTCTCCAGCTCTCCCTCTCTCACACACACAAAATGGAGCTTTGTGGCACATGTAAGCATGCCAGTCACCCACGGGTCCCGCAAACGGGCAGATGCACCTCAGACATGGGCGTGTACCCCCATCTCACCCAGGACCCCACCCCCCGGCAATCTCACAAGCTCAGATCCCCAGCTTCTCCCAGCAATCCAGACTGACAGCTGTGAGCCACATACCCCAAAATAGAAGAGATGGGCAAAACCACATGTCCCAACCCCCACCGATGTCCTGATAAGGAAACTGAGGCCAGAGGGTCAGGAATGGAGTCTCCCATGACTCCCCTAACTCCTGAAAGAAACAATCCATTCACCTCCCTCATTCCGTGAGTGTGCCCCTATTCTGCATGCTTTGTTTTTCAGACACCCAACGCGGCGTTAGCTTCTCCTTTCTTTGATTTCCTATATCTGCTCAGTTCCCGAGCGCGCTCCTGGCCCCTGTCCATGCTCTTCTTTCTAGCCCCTGCCTCCTCCCTGCTGAAGCTCCTCATTACCCCGTGCCTAGAATATAAAGGAAAAATGGAAGTAATTCTATTCTGTTTTTTCTGGCCTTAGTCTCCTTCCCTCCAACCCAAGCTGCCCACAGTGACCAGACTCATCCGGCCAAACTGGGCATCGTGTCACTGTGTCACTCTGGAAACCAGCATGGCTCCCCATTGCCTTCAGCATCACCATAGAGCACCTTTCCAAGGACCAGAGGGCTTTCACTGTCAGGAAGCAGCTGCTATGCAAGCCTCCTCCTTGCTGGCCAGCAGCCAGCCTTCTCTATAAAGCTTAAATGTTTGTGGCCACCTGGTTTGGTACGCTAGAAACCCAGAAATCTACTTTGAATGCTCCCTAAAGTCCCTTCCATCTCCCCCAGACTAGGAAACTCCTCCCTGCTCTCCTCAGATCAGAGATTCCAGAGCCTTCAGGCAGGGCTCATACTGCCCTTCAAAGTACAGAGATGAGGAGGACGACTGCCCACTACTGGCCATCGTGGGAAGCACAGCCGGGCTCTGTCATAAACTGCAGAGTGAGCAAGCAGCCGCCTGCGGAGAGGATAGAAGGAGGACAAGGTTCATAAGCCCTTAAGCGGCTCAGGTTCTTCCACCCAGAGTGGGGTGAGGGTGTTTTCAGCCCGGTTTTCTGAGCAGCTGGCTCCCCACGTTAGATCTCTAATCTGTTAGAGAGCTCCTCTCTAAAACATAAAGAGTGAGCTGCCAGGACCCTTCAGAAGGGAGAGTTGGCCAACAACTTCTGAGAGGCCAGGAAGGCAGGGCAGGCCCAGGTGGCAGGCCCACGGTCCAGCTGGGCTCAGGTTTCTCTATGAATGTTTAAATCTTCCAGCCAAACCTGTCAGATGTCCTGAAACCTGAGTATCCATCTCCTTCCATCTGTACCAGATGCCCTGTCCATCTCACTGCTCCCAGGGAGGAGGCCAGAGAGAAGGCTCTGACAGCTTATGCTGGGGAAATGGTTTGGCAGAGTAAAGGTTCTCCTACTTCCGAGCTTTGCGACCTTGGCAACTCACTTCTCCTGATACCCCTTTTTGTTAATATTGTTTGTTTGGGCATCTGGAGGGGTGGCAAAGATTCCCTGACAAAACTGAGCTGTAGTGGGGAGCAAGCACCTAACCAGCCATAGGGGAGGGAAAATGGCTGATGGATTTGTCAGCACTGTCTTTCCCAAGCCCTGCCTCTCCTCCTCTTGTTTTCTTCCACACCCGAACTGGTTGTGGTGTTCCTAGTCACCTCCAAACAGCCTGAGCCTCAAAATTCTCCCAAGAACCACAGATGAGAAGAGAGGGAGCTAAGAAGTGGGCAAGGCTGGCGGAACAAAACGGAAACAGAAGAGAAGCTGAAGAGTGGGGAGAAGAGGGGAGGAGAGGGGGCACACTCATCTCAGAGAAGAACCAGGTGCAGACTCCCTCTTTTATCTTGGATTCTTCCTCTCCCTGTTGTCTCCACTCTTTCTTTTTTCTTGCACCTTCTCCAGGCCAGATATCATCACACCAGAAAGAGACAGCCACAGTGTGTGTTGGGGGGAGGGGGTCTGTAGGAGGAAGTTGGTTCCCATTTTCCCAGTCCATTGATCTCTTGCACACATTTCTAAAAATAAGGGCCTCTCTATCTGATTAAATGGGAAGTGGATTGCTGAGCCCCTCAACGGCTGCTGAATCAGATAGCTGGGGTTCCAGGAATCTGCATTGTATGAGTGGACATGCTCCCTAAGGGGAGGAGGTGGGGAGCAGGCAAGACAATGCAAAAGAAAGTTAGAGGTCCTCCCCAAACGAACACACTGTGGATGAGAATCCTGTGCAGACGATAGTGGGCGCGAATAAAAGATGGAGGATGCCAGCCTGAGTGACGGTGCTTGCCTGCAATCACAGCACTAGGGTAGCTGGGGGAAGAGGATAGCAGTGAGTCAAAGGCTGGCCTGAGCTGTGGAGGGAGTTCCAGGCTAACCTGAGTGACAAGGTGAGGTCCTGTTTAAACAGAAACCTTAAGGTGAATAGGATGATGAGTGGAGAAAGAGGCACCCAAGTCATATGGGGTGGGGCACAGTCAAGATGAGACTGTGAAGCAGCCAGAAGCCCACCCACCCTTCCTCATGGTCACCTGGAACTCTGCATTGCTGGACCCAAGCTTCAGAGAAGGGTAGTCACGGACAAACCATCACCGGCTTTCTGGACAGGAAGTCTCCGACGCCGGAGAGCCTCTCTAGAATGCATCCCGGGTATATGTGGGTCCTTAACCAGGGCCCTCTGCGCCCGCGGGAACTCTGCTGTGTCCCGCATCCTTTGGACCTGTTCTCTCAGGCCTTCCCCAGCCCCCAGTCCCAGCTCATCTGCATAAAGTTCCAATTAACACGTTTTCCCAGAGCTGTTTGCGATCCCTGAACTCGCTCCCAACCCAGAGCCCTCTTCCTGCCGCCCACTCGTCCCTGGGATCGCAGTCCCATTAACCCCTGAGTCCCAGGCGGTTCCCGCTGGCCTCTAGCCTGTTCCTCCGCAGGAGCCAGGGAGCCCGGGACGCGCCCTAGGCGGCGGACCGCTCAGAGGGCCGGCCCGAGGCCGGAGCTCCTCCGGAAGACGGCAGGCGTCCTCCCGCCCTCTTTCTGGGAAGAGATGAGGAGGGGGACTTCTCCCGGGAGACTCGGGGCGACGAAATTCCTCGTTCCTCATCCTCCGGCCCCCGCACCCCTCCTCCCGGCAAGGCACCCTCTCCCCTCCCCAGCCATCTGTTCCTCTAGGCAGCGCCCGCGACAAACACGGCTCTAGCTTGCTTCCGCCCCTCCCCAGCCCCCTCCTCAAACTCCCCCATCCCCCGGAGTGGGAGAATGATGGCACCCTCTCCTAGAAGGTCCACATGTAGGCCTGCATTTCTCACTTAGCCCCTAGCCTCAGCTGGACGGGATAGCCGCGGGGACCGCCCCCCCCCCCTTCTGAGTATCCGTGGGGCTGGAGAAAGAATGCGTCAAAGCTGGGGCCTCGGGGGAGGCGTGGAGGAGACCTCGGGAAAGGGCAAAGCAAGCAGAGGCAGGGAAACCGAGGCGCGGGTGGCAGAAGCGCGTACTGAGCGCAGTGGTCTGGGGTTCCCTTCCTGGATTGACACCCCGACTTGGCCGCAAACACGCAGCGCCGCCTGCTGGGCACACTGAGGACGGCGTGCGCGCACGCACTGGGCTTCCAGCGCCTGCTTTCATCAGACAGACTGGTGGGATGCCAGACAGGTCCCTTGGTGGCTTGAGGTTGGCAAAATTAGAGTCCGGGGCAGAGAGAGCACGGAGACCCCGGCAGGGCCTTTGGGAGCTAGCCGGCCTCACTGACAGGATCTCTCCCATTCTGAGATTTTTCTTGTGCACAAAAGGCCACATAGTCAGGAGTCTGCGTGAAGCAACCATATGCTGTGTGACTTCTCTCCAGACCTCTCTGCAGTTTTGTCATTTGAAGACAAGTGGGTCATTCTCCTTTATTTATTCCTCAAGGGAACTCAGAACAGAGGAAGCACAGCTTATCTGGAATGCTCTTCCAGCCCTGGCATGTGGGGGTCCTTCATTGGGTAGGGCTTTGCTGAGGTCACTCCAAGTCAGAGACAGTGGTGCCCACCTGTCAACCCAGCACCTGGGAAGCTGGGGCAAGAGGATTGCAAGGTAGAGGCCAGCCCCAGATACTCAGTGAGCTTCTGTCTAGGCTAAAGCGTGAAACCCTCACACACACAAGCTACCCTACCCCGAGGACTGGAATGCTTGGGCCATCCTTTCTCACCCTGATTGACAAAGGGGTAGGCTTCTGCAGTCACATCGCTAGGTGGCCTTGCCTGATTACACCTTGCCCCTGCGTGGCACTTGGCTTTTGCCTTAGCCTCTCTGGCCGTTTCCCTAAAACTACAAAGCAGCACACTTCTAACCTCTCCAGCTATAGCCGGGATGAAACGACTCACCTGAGTGGACTACAGAGCCTCGGCAGGCTTCCTCCGCCTTGCCGGTCTGTGACTAACGCTTTATGCCCCAGGGCATGGACTAGTGAGAGGCTGGGATAGACAAGGTCCCATCTTCCTGGAATGTCTATCATCACTCAAGACAGTGTTTTCCTTAAACGTGGACAATTTTAAAGCCTCACCTTAATGTTTAGAGTGAATGTAAATACAGGGTAACAAGACGCTCAGAATTTGCCTGCTGTTTTAAGATAAAATAGGAGAGAACAGAAAGGTGCTGCTTCAGCAGGCCACAGACGTGCCTTTTCATGACGAGTGTGTGTGTGTGTTGTGTGTGTTACTCTGAAGCTCAGGCTAGCCTGGGATTTACTATGTAGTCCAGGCTAGGTTCCATCTTCCCACCTCAGCCTTCTAAGCACTGTAGTTGTGGGTTGGGTCCACCACACCTTACTCCTAAGTATGTCTCTCTTAAGCATTTGGTCCTGATCTCTTGTACGGAGAAAGGGTAGCTTCCAAGATGAACCCCAAACCCTGGAAAGTGAGGAGACACAACTAGAACTCCCTTTAGATACCAATGGGGTGGTGGTTTGAATCCTTCCCAAACAGTTCCCAAATATATGAGCCTGTGGGAAACAGTCTAATTCAAACCACCAGCCCATTGGTATCTAACATGTCTTTGTGAGTTGTTGGATTCCCTGGAACTGGAGTTACAAACAGTTGTGAACTGCCATGTGGGTGCTGGGAAGTGAACTCAGGTCCTCTACAAGAGCAGCCAGTGCTCTTAGCCACTGAATCATCTCTCCTGCCCCTGACATCAGAGTCCTTCCTAAAGGCCCAGCCAGGCCTGGGCGAGACAGAGGGACGGCGCTGCGGAAAGGTAGCAGACCACCCCTCCAGCCACAGACACACACCGGCCAGACTCCGATTTCCCTTTTTATTTCCCAAGACTTGTAAGAAGCAGCACCAGGGAGGGGACCTGCCCTCCGGCCCCACCCCGTCATGGGCACAGCCAGCACCTCATACCCTCCTCCTCAGGAAAGGTTGCCATAATATGTGTACATGTGTGTGTGCACACGTGGCAGCTAAAATCTCAGGGGAGGCTGTTCACTGATCCCATGAGTCTTAGCAAAGCAGCTTCACAGAGGCTGTAGGACAAGTGTAGAGAAAGGGCAGCTTCAAACTCTGGTTTCCTCTGGTCCAAGAAGATGGCCCAGCACCACTAGAATAGGCACGGTCTTCAGTAAATAAACAGTTAATAAAAATAAAAATAGTTTCTAAGGGCTGGTTTTTTTTGTTGTTGTTTTAGGGCTTGGTTTTGTTTTGTTTCCCTTTTTGCAAGTCCCTACAAAAATAGAAATCTTAGTATTTATAAATCCACGGCCCTTAGCTCCATGCACAGGATGTAGGCAGAAAGCCACCGGGGGCGTTCCCTTTGCCTTATCAGGCCTCGGTTGCCTGTCCTCCAAGTCTCTGGGGCTCGGGAGTCTATGTGGCCACCTTCGAAGCACTGAGCATCTTCTGCGGGACTGGCAAATTGGTGGCATACTCTCTCTGCAGACGGGCCCGGTAGTAGAAGAGGTAGGAAGGTAGGAGAAATCCCAGGAATGAGAGAATCAGGAGGCCCAGATGCACCTTCAGAGCATGGAGAGAGAAGCAAGGAAAGTGAGCTGGGTGCTGACTGAACACCTCCTTCAGGGACCTGCCTGAGAGAATAGGGCAGACTCTGCCCTCCAGGTCCAGAAGGGAAGAGGCGTGCTCAGACCCAGCAGGGGTGCCGACCACTCCACCAGCACCTGGATGGCCAGCCACCTGGCCAAGGTGCTGAGTGACACCCTGACGTATAGGAAGCCACAGTCAGGCGCCACAACGCAACACTCTCTGGCCCTGGAGGCAGGCTTGTGCCAGCCAGGAGGAACCCACTAGGCTGGCAAGAAGCGGCTCTCTGTCCTGGCCGAAAGAGGCAGAATGGATATATAGCCATCCCGGAGCACTCGGGGCTTGCCACGCCCAGGACTTCAACCTCCGGGAGCTCCTGAGGATCACATCCTACCCCTTGACTCATGAGTGACTTTGGGCAAAGAATCTCAGCTCCGAGCCCCTCCTTCACAGGTCGACTGAGGCAAAGATGAGGGGAAAGAAAACCCGGCATGCTGCGCGGCAACTGCTCAGCAGGCTGCGGAGAGGGTAATATGGCACATTTACTCAGGAGGGGGTGCATGGCCCAGCGTCCCACAGGCTCACCTGAGTAAGAGGAGGGGGACTTGGTGACAACAGTGGGACCTCACGCAGGAGCAGGCACTCTGCCACTCAAAATCCCGAGCCAGCTGGGAGGAGCCTATTTCAAGAGTACTGAGGAGGGTGCCTCCATCTGTCCAGGGTGAACGCACTCCCCAGGACCATGACCAGGCCAGCCCAAGACTCGCCTGGGACCTTATGAAGACACATCAGTGGGAAAAGCTCTTCCAGGACATGCATGAGGGCCAGAGGATGGGATCAGCAGTTCACCTGTCCTGTTCCCTGGAGAAAACTGGCTCACTGGACTATTCACATTGCTCAGCTCTGAGTTCAACAGACAGTCCTTGCCTCCGTGAATACGGTGGAAGGCCATCAAGGAATCCTCCCCGTGTCAGCCATGACATACGTGTACATGTACACAAGCGCAAGCATGAATGCCCTCACACACACTCACTACATATATGCTGAAGTTTTTAAGAGTAAAACAGAATAAAAGCAGACCCTTGGAAGCAGATCAGGACAGGGGCTGATCTAAGGCTGGGAGCCCTTTGGGTTTTAACCCTCTGGGAAGGGTTCTGATGAGCAACCAGCCGGACAGCCCAGGTTAGGAATCTCCATGGCACCCCCTGGCTGACATGCAAAGAGTGAGGGGTTCCAGCACACGCCAACCCCTGCCCCTCCCCCTGGGCCCATGTTGAAGCGGCTCTCACCCAGAAGGGATCTCCGTGCAAGGGTCCCACCATGGCCATGAAGAGCAGCTGCTGCAGCAGAGCAAACACGGCACTGACGAGGGACTGAAGGCCTGTCAGTGTCCCAAAATGGTTGGATGGGAACCTATCCATAGGGACACCTGAAGTCAGAGGCGGGAACCCCTGTGGCCCAGCTCCCATCCTGCTTCCTCCCCAGATATCACCGTGTTAGCCAGACAGAGCATTCCTTGATGAGTGCAGGCTCTGCACTTAGCCTCTGGCTACCCCAGAGCCAGCAGGCTGGGTCCAGTCACCCGCTGTCTGTGTGGTCACTGTCAGTAGCTCAATCTCTCCGTACCCCTGTTCTTCACTAACAGCAGGGTATAGCCAAACCTCACTGGCTCACTTACAGGGTTCTTTCCATAAATATTTACTGGGCTCCTCCTATGTGCAGACGCTGTTCTAAGTGCTCGAGAAAAGCAATGGATCTGTCAGATAGCATGTGGCTGTGGTATAAGTAAGATGAACGCATAGCGTGTTAAGAGCTAAGGAGAAAGATTAAGCAGAGGTGGAAAACTGCATGGAGACCAGGGACTCAAAACTGCCGCTGATGTGGCCAGAGGCAGCCATGCCAGGACAGACAGATGTCCCCTGGAGACAGCGAGAAGGTAAAACCGTAAGCCGCACAGGTATCCGGAGGAAGAATGTCCTAGTGACACCAGCAGGTGTGAAGGCCCTCAGCAGGAAACATGCTGAGGGTCCGTTTGTCTACAAGGTGGCCCATGAGAGTGGAGAGGGGTCCAGTGGTGGTGGCGCACATCTTTAACCCCACTCAGGAGGCAGAGGCAGGAGGATCTGAGTTCAAGGCTGGCCTGGTGTCCAGAGTGAGTTTCAGATGGCCAGGGCTACCCAGAGAGACCATCTCAGAGAGAAAGAGAGTGGGGGAGGGTAGAAGAGGCAGGGAAAGGGAGAGGGGGAGAGGAAAGGAGGAGGGAAGGAACAGGGAGAAGCTGAGCCACTGCAGGTGACACAGATTTGCAATGACCCATACTTGAGATGACCGTGGGCTGGAGTGGGATTGAGGCAGACAAGTTTGGGAAACCAGATGCAGGTCGTGTGAAAGGCAGAGCCAAATGGATTACAGATGCCCTGTGGACAGGGGCTGTCTGCCTGTCATCATCTGCCACAGGACAGGAACAGCCAGGTCCCATGAGCATGTCCCCCTCTGACAATCCACACTGAAGGGATGCCAGGAGGAAGGCTGCTTTAGAAGTCGGGGCCCTTTCCACTCTGGCTAAGCACCCCTAACTATGCGGGCAAAGCTCCAAAAGGCAACTTGGTCCACGTGGCTCACACTGCAGCGTAGAGACCTCCACAGGCCGAATGGAAGAAACCACGAACCATGGTGTGCAGGACAAAAGCCACCAACTGAAACCCAAGAGAGAGACAAAGAGGGTCAGAAGGATCAAGGCAGAGAGAAGAAGGATGCAGGCCTTGCTGGGACATCTATACAGTTCTACCCTGACCCAACCCTCAGCAACATAACCTACGAGGCACGCCTCCTAGAGAACCCAGGAGACCTGGAATAGAGCCGTGCTTCCGGAGAATGCAGGCACTGGCCGAGCGTTCCCATGGGGGGGTTGCAGAGATGGAGCGGGGTGGAGGAGCGGGTACCTGCAGCTGTAGGTTGCTGATGAGGCAGATGATGCCAAAACCCACAAGCAGAAGGTTGGTCAGGGTGAAGGCGTTGATGGCGTTGGTGAGCTTTTGGATCTTACGGGAGCGCAGTCCGCTGACCTTGGTGGTAGCCCCGTCTCTGAAAAGAGCAGGCACTCACTGGCTGCTCTCCGGAACTCCCCGGAAGCTCATGGTACTGTGCCTGGCCCCACCCCATGCTGGTGTGCCTGCAGCTAGCAAAGCAACGAAGGCAGAAAACCATTTCTCCGCCCAGAGAGATGGCTTGAAGTGCTCGCCTTGCAAACAGGAGCAGCTGGGTTCTAACCCCTGAATGGCACACGCACACACAAACACATACATTTTACATGTTCAATGCTAGCACTCAGGAGGCAGAGACGGGTGGCAGTCTGTGAACTCAAGGCCAGCTTGATCCACGTAATGAGTGCTAAAAAGTAAATTTGGGCATAGAGGTATATACTCGTAAACTCAGTGTTGGGGAGGTAGAGACAAGCGAACCCCAGGATCTCACTGGTCAGCCAGTCCAGCCCACCAGACAAGCTTCAGGTCAATGAGAGAACCTATCTCAAACCGAAAGCCAACATGGGCAACACCTGAGGAACAACAGCCAAGGCCGTCCTCCGGCCTCAACACACATGCGCACCTATGCATGCACACACACGTGCAAAAGAGAAAACCATTTCTCCACAGCTGTGCTTCCCTCACCTAACTAGTCAAGCTAGTTAGTCTAGTGTGAATCGACAGACCCATCCTCAGAACGCAGACCCAGGCGTAAGCCTGCAAGTGTCCCAAGCACGTCTCATGCGGATGCCACTCTGGGCACAGCTCAGCGTGACTGCTCAGAAATCTCCCCCGTTCTAGGAATGACCAGTTGAAGAGGAGCCCAGGAATAGGAGCAGTGGGCTGGGTTAAGCCAAGGCTGCCCGTCAATCCTGGGCAGGTGGGCTCGGTAAATGGGCCTTTGGCACATCACGAGCAGATGGTAAAGAGAGAAGGCTGGGGCCCAGAGAACAGAGGGAAGCTGCTGGGTCCATCCTTACCACCTTTTCTCCTGTCACCCTCTCCCACATTCTCAGGCAAATGGATTACAGAGGAGCAAAGAACACCGGAGTCCTGAGCTCAAGGTCCAATTTCAGTCTTTAGCCAACATGGTAACCTCGGGCCTTCGCCTACTACACCAGGCTCACTCCGTGTGACCGCAGGCCGAGAGAAGTGATAGTAGGTTACTAAGACTATATTATAGAAGCCGTGACAGCTTCTGTCCGTACCTCTCCCCTCTCTCACAACTCTGTCAGTAAGCCGTCTGCTGTATCAAAAGTAGCCCTACCTTAATGATCAGTCACACTAGCAAGCCTGGATGCGGCTACCCAACCTGGGCAGCACTCAGATGGCACCGCTATGGCAGGAAGATAGAAAACCACCTTATAACCAGGCGCAGTGGCCACGCCTGTAAGCCCAGCACCCAGGGAGGCAGAGGCAGGAGGACCTCTGTGAGTTCAAGGCCAGCCTGGTCTACAAATCCACAAAGCGAGTCCAGGACAGCCAAGGCTACATGGAGAAACCCTGTCTTGAAAAACAAACAAAAATAAAGGAAGGAAAAAGAAAGAAGACAACCTGTCAGAAGCCTCAGGTCAGAAACCTCCAGGCTGAGGAAGTCCCGACTCCCTACCCTCAGCAGCGGTGCGCAGGTCAAGGTTGTTTGGGGACAGGGCAAAGAATTCCACAGCTACAGACAGCTAATAAACCAACCCCCTCTCCCCAGCCTTAGTGTCGAAACACGGTCTGGGTCCACCCTATAACAAGGGTGAGCCTAATGCCACCGTGTAGCCGAGGCTGGCCTCAAACTCACAGCCACCTTCTGCCCCGGGGGCTGCTTAGACAGCAGGCATACGTCCCCAGGCTCGGACAAGCTTCGGAGTGTACACTCTATGACACTGATTCAGAAGCCTGCTGTGTGGTCTGGTGGTCCAACCCAGGTCTCAGCCAGTCACGGGAGGACCATCATGAACTCAGCCCACAGAGATGCTGCTGGACTCAGAACTGAGCAAAGTGCCTAGCGCAAGCCCCGCCCTCAGCTATAGGCATTCTCACGCCAAACAGCCCGTGCCTTTTCTAGCCCGGTTCCCCATCCGCAAAACAACCAAGGCCCGTGCTTTCTCGCCCGCTTAGGAGAATGAGACGAGAGGCTGCATGCACAAGCACAGAGGAGCTGACAAGGGTTGTTGGGGATGTTCGTGCCATCCCTCGGCCACCTGGCATCTCCAAAGGAAGCTCTCTCCATCGCGGCACCCTCGGCAGGAGCATCCACGCAGTCCTTGATGCGCCAGTCCATGATGTAGCCGATGAGGGGGCAGGTGAGGAGACACAGCAGCTGCATGACTCCAAAGACGGAGGAGTAGGACTCCACTAGGCCGGAACGGAGGTGGGCTCAGAGTGTGGGCAGCTCAGCGGACCCCGCCACCGCCTCCAGCAGAGAAAGGCGGGGCTCCAGCAGACTCCCTTGGGCCCAAATTCTCAGGCCCCCAGGACTAGGAGAATGAATCCCACCCTAGGCATGGGGCACACCAGGGTACACATGGGCCGGGCCTCTGCCTTGCTCTCCTTACCTATCCCTTCCACCATCTGTCTCTGCTCAGTCGTCTCTGTGGCCAGAGGGAGACACAGTGAGTGGATGCCCAGCCAGATGACCCTCTGGTCAACACTCCACCCCGCCCTCCACCCCACACAAGGTTTCCAAAGAGCCTCACCAAATTCCTGGCCACCGGTCACAAAGAACTCCAGTATCTTGTTCATGGCGGCCATGTAGAACATGACCCGCAGCTGGGTCATGCCCATGGTGATGAGGCTCCACAGGAAAATGGGGGAGCACAGGCTCTTTCGAAAAGGGAGAGACTCTGGGGAGACAGTGGGTGGGGGGGTCAAGCCTCCAGAACTTCCATCTCCCAGCTTATAAGGGTCCATGGAACCAAGGGGCTAACTGTCTGACTCTGGAGAGGATCCGGTCTCTTCTGTAACATCCTCCATACACGTTCTCAGGCGGCCTCTAAGTGCTTCCTGTGTTCGTGTGCTGCTTAAGCAAGTAGATGGTTTGCCGGAGCCCACGGGGCTGAAATGGCAGGGGGCCCGGCTCCTATAAGGATGGGCAGTGGGCTAATTACTGTCATGGCTGGACCCATTTTGCTCCATATGAAAAGCTTTCCTGCCTATTGGGCGATCTGGTCCTCATAACTACCCTCCCTGCTGGCTGATGACTGCAGAGATGAGGAAGGCAAAGGGAGGACCAGCAACAATGTCCTGAAATGGAAAGCAGGGCTCAGACTCTCACCTTCTCACTCTGGAGCCCATGCCCCATCCCCACCACGTGTAGCTGAACTTCGGGTGGGCGCATCGCCCCCTGTGGCCAGCAGGGGGCAGAAGTATGCCAGACCTTGGAAGGCCCTGTCTGCAGGCTCTCTGCTTTGGCTGTGCCTGAGGCAACAGCAAGGAGATTGGTTGCGGATGGATGGGAGCGAAGAGCCAGCTGCCTCACAGGTCAGGAAACTTGTCCTCTGCTGGAAGCGCCTCCCATCCTCTTGCAGAGGAATTAGCAGATGACCCCTCAGTCTGAACTCCGCAGATCTCACTGCGCTTGGTTCTCCTCATCACAACGCCCACATAGGGCGCAGTGAAACTCAGGAGGATGAGACTGTGCCCTCCCTGCCCCCAAGGCTAAAAACCACAGCAGACACTCACTCTCGGGGTGCTTCTCTGAGGTGCCAGGGATGTCTGGAGATGAAATAAAGGTGTCAGACCCCTCCTCCAGGCTAGGGGCCTTCTGACTCAGCCGCTGACCCACGACGGTTATGTGGGTATAGAAGCGGTCACTTGTGACCTTGTGGTCCAAGGCTAACCCAATGAGTTTGATCTTCTTCCTGCCAACAGTCAGACCAGAGCCTGTGAGAGCTAGCTGTGCAGGGCCTAACTTCAAGCTCTAGGTACCATCCCAGCCTGCCCAAGTGAGCACCCCTTTATCTAGCACTGCCGTAACAAGCTCCCTTTCGTTGCGTTCCCCTCCATCTCTCTTGCTCAGAGGCTGGCCTAGGCACTTGCTTACACAGATACTCATAAATGAAGGGCAGAGGAGTGTTTTTTCCTTGATCTATTTCCAAGGAAGAGGTAGCATAACAATTTAAGACACTGGCTCAGCCTGGCCCCATCCAAACTTCAACTCACTTCTTTTCAGTGCTAGGACTTTTGTCAAGTCACCGGGCCATTAATGGAGTTAACAGCAGCATCTACATCACACAGCTATTTGGTGGTGAGCACAGCGCAGGGCACACAGTAGACACTTAACGTCAGCTGACTACTACCCTGGGTGCTGGGCTGTGCAATACCCCTTCTGACGCGGCTGAGCTGAAGAGGGGCCGGGAAGCTGGCAATGGCGGTGCCCCACAAGACGCAGTGTGCTAACTTCTTGGCAGCCTCTTGTTTGGGTCCAGGTGACACTTAGCAGTACTTCGTGGGGAGGGGAGGGGAGGGGAGGGGGGGAAGAAAGGTCTCCTGCCGACCTCCCCCTCCAAAGCCAGACAGAATATTCCATTCATAGCAAAAAGCACATGTTGAACCGCCTACTACGTGTGGGCCCACTATTTAAAAAACCACCTGTGAGCAAAAGCAGGGCTGGGGAGTCGGAGACCGTTTGCAAAAATGAATTCCAAATCCAGGTCTAAGGCCAAAGCTGGTTCTGTCATCAAAGCCCTGGCCTCAGCCCTCTACTGCAGGGGTCAGGGGCCGGGATCCGCTTCACACGCCAACCTCCTCTCCCAGCCTCTCACGTGTAATCAACTTCCTCAGGGGCAGGAAAGGCTTCTGCAGGCCAGTTGAGAGCACAGTTCAGAAAGATAAGACAGGCCAGGCCAGACCAAGTGAACATGATGACCATGAAGGATACGCCAGCATCGTAGATCAGCTGTTGGGGAAGGACAGGCCATGGAGGAAGCCAGCTTGCCTGGGCCCCACAAATGCAGAACCCTTGGGGAACTGGGGCCTTCAAGGTCTCCTGCACCCCACTCCTTAGACCCAGTTTGCAGGCAGGGAAAGCAAAGCCAGAAGTTAAAAGGCAGCACGGCTGCCATTCCACCCCTTCCTTCAGCAAAGCCTCACTAAAGGAGTACAAAGTCATTCTTAAAACATGCTGAAGGTGCCCGCCCACCCACCACTCACACACAGGGAAGCTCACTACTACCTCGGAAAGGAATTCCATTTTTTTATCTATGACTCCATAAAAAGTATTATTTTCACACACACACAGAGTTATTTTATATCATGCTCACAAGGGAAATTAACGCAGTGGGTTTAACCTTCCCCTTGCTAGCCCATTTCCTCATGGAGGGGCAAACCCAGCCTGAGCAGCCTTATCTCCTGGCTCCCAGGCACCCACAGGTACACCTGCTGCAGGGGTGTGGGTTAATTCAGCAGGTTTCTAACCCTAGAACAAACAGGCTCCGAACAAACGTGACAGCCTCTTTGATAAGAGGTTGTCTCCAACTGTCCTCCCTGACAGGCTAACTGCGCACTCCGGGTCAACGCTGATGAACGGCGTGCTCCAGCAGAAACACTGCTCGGACCGCTTGACCGGGAAAGAGGCAGAGTCCTCTAGCCCATCCCAGGCTTAACGCTCAGCCCTCCCCTTCCCAGTCCACCACGATGGCCTGACCAGGATCCGCTATGGCATAGATGTGCTTTGTAACCCCAGACCAAGTTATTCAGCCTCTCCATCCCCCATCCAGTTCCTGGGTCAAGGCTGTGACAGCACACGGGACAAGAGCAGTGGCTCCGTGTGTAAGGCTTGCATTTCTACCACGAGGGTAAAGGCAGAATGTGGCAGCCCACACCTGCCACCCGGTGTGGGCTGCGTCATGGAAACAGCAGATCCCGGTGGGCTTACTGGCCTGCCCATCTAGCCAAAACTGCAAGCTCCTTGTTCAGTTAGAAAATAAGGTGGAGCCAGGGTGGTGTGCACACCTCCGATCCCAGCACTTGGCAGGCAGATCTCTGGGAGTTTAAGGACAGCCTGGTCTATAGAGTGAGTTCAGGGCTAACCAGAAAAACCCTGTCTCAAAAGAAAAGAAAAAAAAAAAAAGAGCAAGAGAAAAAGATCCCCAATATCAACCTCTGCTGCCATAAGCAAGGATGAGCCCAACTGCAACACACACACACACACACACACACACACACAAACACAGTGGGGGGGGGGGGACAAGCCAGCCCTCCCCAGACCTGCCAGAAGTTCCATACCTTGATTCCAGGGAAAGTGATGGCAGAAGATGCGTAGGAGCCAATCATGAGTGCCATGAAGGTGGAGCGCAAATTCCCAAACATGTTGGGCAGCTGAGGGAGAAGAGCAACTCCTGTGAGCTGGAGATACCCCATTGCCACCCCTGGCTCCCCTTTCTCAACACTCCATAAGAGAGCTTGGAGGCATTTCCAACGGTGAACTCCAGGAATGGAAGCCCAGGACACCTATAGAAAAGTGCCAAGGTAAATCCACACGGGGGGGGGGGGGTCACTCCAACCCCTCTAACACACTCGCAGTGCGAGTGGGCACTGAAAAGGTGCCAGAAATAACCTTAGAGAGCAATTTTAACTTTGTCTCATCCCAGGATGGCCCGGTGTTCTGTTCATGGATCTTCTTCATTTGGTGACATCTGAAGAAGCCCCTGGAGCAGGTGGTGAGAAACACTGATCTAGGGGCAAGAAGGCTCGAAGAGGGCGGACGCCTGGCACCCACACAATTGTTTATCACTATAGTTCCAGGGGACCTGACAGCCTCTTCTGGCCTCTTCTGACATGCATGCCCACAAACACACTTATGCATAACATAAATAAGTAAACGCCGATGCTGTGAGGGAAAGAATACCCAAGCTCACAGCCTCAAAGACTTCCTCCCCATTCTGGCCCCATCGAGGCTGTATCTATGGATGACCCTGTGACACAGAGGTGACCTTTAACCCTCTCTGTGGCCTGAACACCACCTCAGCCCACAGGTTTGGCTGGACTGGAATAAATCACGGGAGAGACCAGAGAGGTAAGAATGAAACTGAGGTGGCTCTGAGGCGCAAAGCAGGCCCACAGAGCCAACCGGTCATGAATTAGTTGATGATCGTATGATTGCTAGGAGTGAGCCAGGCCCTGAGGGGAAGGGAAGGCAAAGTCCCCCGATACTTCGCTTGCCTTCACCCTCAGTCCCACTGACCTCCAGGGTTAGGAGAAGCCATTGCTGGACAGGACCTTAGATGTGGTACAGAGACTAAAGCCCCTCCAGAGGAGAGGCTCAGTGAAGGGACCTCAGAGCTGAGGAGTAAAATGTTTACACAGAAAAGGGAGCTGTCATTGACCTCAAGGAAATAAGTCAGGGAGGCTAAGTGAACTCCCATCAGAACAGAGACTTTAAGTCTCTAGCGCCTTCCATCGGCCATGCACACAGGAAGGACAGCAGGAAGAACCCCTGAAACCTCAGGGGTGGAAGAGGCGCGGCCTCAGCCTAGCACTGCCCGGAGCTCATCATAGGATGACCCCAGGGGCAGCATATTGGCAGTAGTTCGCTTCCAGGGGCGGTCTGCAGCCGCGAAAGGGCTGGCCAGCAGGGGAGGGCCGCCCAGTGGTGGGGCGGGGCAGGCGCCAGGCCGTGCCATTGGCTGGAGATACAGCCGCTGGAAGCGCGGACTCCACTACGCAGGGCAGGGTCCAGGTCAAGCCTGCTGCCAGCGGGAAGGGGTTGCTGCACAGAGGGGTGGGTCGGAAGGGATCAGCTTCCTTGAAAGTTGTGAAATGTCCCCAGCTGCAGCTAAAGGCAGCTGCTGGGATGAGAAAAGAGGCCAAAACACCCAGTTGGGCCGCATCAGAGATAAACAACCCAAAAAGGCCCAACAGGAAATGTCCCACCCCGCCCCCACCTGGATCCGCTTTTAATCCTTAGACCCTCAGACACATATATGCATATAGAGTAAAACAAACTCACGCAGATGCCTAATAGGTTGAGCCCACGTGGAAGGGTTAGTTTTTGTAGGTCAAAAATAGTCAGCTATTGGCAAATTCGCACGGGTACAACCTCACAAATGCGTTTTCCACTCCAGCCCTTTCACACACTCCCCCACAGTGTGGCAAAGGTCCCCAAGGCGAGGACCACGTCACCCAGTAGAGCTTTCTTCCCAGTCTGTTCCACTGCTGACATGACCTATCAGTTTGCTTGCTCATTGGGTTTTCTGTTCCGCCCCTCCCTAGTCCCCATATGGAAGGGGGGACAGAGTCCTGTTTGTACTGTAGGCGCAGTGCGGGAACAGCGCTCAACTGACACAGGCTCAGTACACACACGCGCACGCACACAGTCTCACCCACGCACAGCTCCGAGCCTGCCCTTGGCTCCCACGTGCATAGTCCCACACACAGGCTCCTGACCTGAGCCACTCATCTCACTTGAGTCTCAAGTTCTTTTTGTGTGTCTGAGTGCATCTGTGTGGGCCGTGTGCTGTGCCCCCAGAGGCCAGAAGAGGGCGCTAGTTTCAATGGGTGCTCGAGCTCTAGATGGTCATGCGCTGTAGGACTTGGGGGCTGGCAAGCTCGCTCTGAAGGAAGAGCAAATGTTCTTAACCGCTGAGCCACCTCTTCAGCCCGCTCTCATTCACTTCTAGCCCCACCCACTCCCAGGTGCCTGGAAGGGCGCCAGGACATTTCCGTCATACTCACGGTAAGTGAGGTAAACGTTAGGCAGATGCCAGCAAACCCATTCAGGGACAGCGCCAGGAATATCAGCGGAGACAGAACTGGGAAGAGAAAGAAGGGCAGCTGAGGGCATCTGTGGAGCCGTGGGAGCCCACAGGCAGGAGCTGAGGTCAATCCACCCACTCTAGAGGAAGCGCATGAGGACAGACGGCTCACCTTCGGTGTCCCGGGAGGCCAAGGCCATGAGCGTGCAGGATGCGGCGAAGGAGGCGCTGTCAGGACACAGAAGAGGGGGCCATGGTGTGCTGGCCTCCCTCCTCTGCACCCTCTCCCCCGCCCTGCTGTGTCTCCCCACACCCCGCCGCCTCACCTGCCCACCAAGCGCAGGGGCCTGGGCCCAAAGCGGTCCATGAGGATCCCCAGAGGCAGCGTGGTGGCGCTCAGCAGGAAGGAGCCGATGGTGAAGCCCAGGTTGAGCATCTTGTCCTGCTGGTCACAGGTTGGCCACTGGCGCTGTTCATCTTGGGTGGTATTGGTCCTGTTCTCAGCTGAGGAGGGGAAAGGGGACTCAGCGCAAGCTACAGACACAGGAAAGCAGCCTGGCCCAGGGGTCCTGCCTGCCAATCCAGGCCTCTGGAAGTAATGTGGAGTCCTGCGTGCTCTGATGAAGGACAGAAATCAGCATCTGGCCTTGGAAGGACTACAGTCTCCACCTGACGCTTCAAGTAGCTCAGTAAAGAAAGCCGGCCTCAAGGTATGTACCACGTTGGAATAGTCCCTGGAGGGCCCCAGCCAGGAACCCCACATCATGAGGCAAAATCGGTGACTGGTTCCCTTAATGTATGCAACAAGAAACACATAAAGGAAGCAGAGAAAGCCTTCTCAATAAATGACATTTTGATAATAGCAGCTAGGACTGTTTAGAATGTAACTGTGTTCCAGGCCCGGCTCTGCACACACCATCTGAGTCACAATAAGGCCCCAGGAGTCCACTAAGAAAACATCCCATCCCCCACATGAAGACACCAGCATGCCACCTTCCAGGGCCCTTCAACTGTGAGTTTGTGAGCTGCGACAAGGTAAAGAGGACAGGGGGTGAAGTCAGAGTGCTTAACTCTGTCACTAAGCCATGAGGTGGCTGCCTCCAAATCGTTTCTGGGAGACTGGTCAAACAGGGTCTCCCTTCCCACTGCCCACCCAACTTGCTTCGGAGTCTTGGCTAGGGAAACTCCCTCCCTCACTCTGTGCCTCAGGCCACTTATCCATTAACAAGGGCAGAGAATGAGCAGCCTCAGCCGGAGGCAGTTTCCAGCCCAGCGGAAAGGGCCGAGGCACATTCCATAGCTGACAATGGGGCTGAACACAGACCCACAGGATCATACCCTGACTGGAAGCTCATGACAGAGAACAAATGGATGATGATTCAAAGAGGGAGGTGTGGGGCTGGAGAGATGGCTCAGTGGTTTAAAGCAGTGCCTGCTCTTCCAGAGGACTCAGGTTCAATTCCCAGCACTGACATGGTGGCTCAAAACTGTCTATAACTAGAACTCTAGTTCTAGGATATCCAATACCCTCAACACAAACATGCAAGCAAAACACCAATGGACATAAAATAAAAAATAATTAATTAATTAAAAAAGAGGCAATGCCTCAAAATAAATAAATTAATAGATAGATAAGCAAAAAGAGAAGTGTGAGGTTTGTAGTGAGTCCTGAATGTAATCCCAACCCTAAGGAGGCTGACACAAGAGGATTGCCCTGAGGTCAGTCTGAGCTATGTGTGAGACTCAGAGAGAGTCATTAACTAAAAATACAAAAGGAGAGAGTTCTGTAAAGAGAACAGAAGAGCACCTGGTGCTGAGAAAGAGGTTGGTTATTCACCCGACTTCAAGTAACCTCCAACTGCCAAAGGACCTACACGTAGGAGAAGGAAATGAGATCTGTGTGTTAACATAAAAAGAACATAAAGACCTATCAGATCATAAGAGCAGGAAAAGAACTGCCCTGGGCAGTCCCAACTACCTGGCAGGCTCGGTGAAGGGCACATGAAGGAAGTAGTCAGGGGTGAGACCACTCGGCCTTTGAGGTTCATGCTATCTTTACAATCAACAGCCATTTCTCCACTGGCTTTGTCCACACAGGTATTCCACACCTGATTACTGAACATTGCTGTACGCCAGCATTGTGTTGGAGCAGTGGGTAAAGAAAGAAACAGAAGACAAGACAGGCCAAAGGCCACGCACAGGTGCCCATGGTTTGCTGGACTGGCGTTAAGTGTCACTTTAAATATAAAAAGTCCAGATTTCTCGTTCACTGAGAACTGGGCATGGTGGCCTGCAGCCATAGTCCCAGCTACTCAGGTGCCTGAGGGAGCAACGTAGTAAAAAGAGAGGAAGAAAGAGAGAGGGGAAGGAGGGAGAGACAGACAGTCAGGAAGATGTAGCTGTTGCTGCTGATGGTGGCCTCCTCTTTTGCCAAGGCTGTCCTTGAACAGGCTTGTGTCAACCTCATCACTCCCAGATGCTGGCTATCTTAACCCTGCCCGTCTGGCCCCGTCCCTTATCATCTGCCTGCCCTTGTATGGTGTTTGAATTTGTAGCCCCTGCATTAGACACTGTCTGCCCTTACATCTTTCATAATCAAATCACAACTTCCCTCCCAAACAATTACACTAGCTTGCTGTTAACACCCACTTTGTACCAGGTTGTTCCAAGCAAAGCTTTCACTTGATCTTTGCAACAGCCCTAGACTCAATACAGCCCTAGACTGGATTACAGACCATGAGACTGCCAGAAGCAAAGGCGCCGAGTCGCCCAGCAGCCTGCAGCAGGCTCCCATTCGCTCAAGGGCCTCTCCAGAGCCACCAGCCAGCCTAGCGTCCCACAGGCCAGCCTGAAAACTTTCCCCAGTCTATTCTAAGCCAGCAAGTGTGTGAATGCTGCTACAGAACCCAGGCAAGAGGATGACTAATGGCCACTCCAGGAACACCTAAGTTCCACTGGCTTCATCCATCAGCTCCCTGTGAGTTCAGTATGCGCAAGCTCCCGAAGCCTGGTCACTGTGGCCAGGACCTGCTTAAAGGACCTGCATCCATGACAGTCACGGCAGAATACATCTTCGGCATCCACTGTCACACACAAATGAGACGTGGGGGATGAGGAAGGGACGTACTCAGGAAGGGAGTGGCCAGCACATGCCCCAGCCCTTGTTTGCTCCTTTTTAGCTTAGACATCTACACACTAAACGGCCCCACACGGAACATTGGCCACACACAGTACACAACCACGCACACTACAGAGCCACACATACTACATGGGCATTCAAAGAGGGGTCAGGCAGTATATGGAAATATATATGAATATTATGTACATGTGTGCATACACATCAAACCCAAGGCTGCACCACACTTTAAATAACAGTGGCTATGGCTCACAGAAATGATAAAATTCCGAAGGTGGCTTGTAGATGGTCCTGTCTGGGGAATGCCGGGAAATGAGATCACGGTTGTGTACCATAGCTACGCTGCTAAAATTCTAAGGCCTTGTCCCACCTTTGACCTGGAACACCTGGACCTGAGGATGGGCTGGTCCCATCCATGCAAAATTTAAAATGATTCCATATTCTTTGTCTCCTAATCCATGCTTGCTTTCTCAAATACCTTCTTGCTGGTGGCAAAACCCCTCAGGACTAAGTTTCTGTCTGATAAAGTCTTGTCCATGACACCAGAGATTGTCATGTTGGAGCCAAGTCTTGTGCTCAGAGATAAGAAGTCTGAAGGAAGGCCTGGTGCTAAATGGAGTAACAGGAGCGGTCCCCACAGAGCGAGACCCCACCCAGACAGTCCCACAGCCTGAGAAAGGAAAAGGCCTGAGAGGTCTGACGCCTAAAAAGAATCAGAGTCCAAGTCCATGCAATTATCACTTCAGGAAGGGCCAGTTTCCAGACCCTGTGGACAGCAGGGCACGGCAGCCTCACCCTCACGGCTAAAGATAACTACATCGACTGTGGACTCCTCCTTCTCCTCAGTTAAGGAAAGCCACCAAGAGTAGGCGTGTGACCAGAATCCCTCCTTAGAGGCCCAGAGACCATCTCATGAAGCTACGAAGGTGAAGTCTAGATTGCTTTAGAGACCCCAAGATGTTGGAGATGCCATAGCCATGGGATGTTTGCCAAGGAGCTGCTGACAGGGAGAGGAAGCAGCCCAGGAGAGGTGTGCTGCAGTCAAGAGTCTGAAGGAGTGGGAGAGCTGACATGAAGCAACAGGATGGGAAGTTCCCCTTGCTCAGCTCTAGTCTTGCTTTGGTCCAATATTTCCTCACTATGCCTCTTTCTTCCCTTTTGGAATGGTAATGTATATCCTGTGCCATTGTACATTAAAGTATGTGATTTACTTTTGATTTTACAGGGGTTACAGTCAACAGATTGCCTCAGAAGAGCCTTTTTTAAAGAAAAGTGTTGAGACTGTTATTGACTGAAGTTGACTACATTTTCTATCATAATCTGACTATAGGCCTAGGGGATGGGTGTGGGGTGTGTGTGTGCTGGTTTGAATGAGAACTGCGTTTGAAAGTTTGGTTCCAAGTTGGTTGAACTACTCAGGAAGGATTAGGAGGCGAGTCACTGGGGGCGGGCTTTGAGGTTTCCAAAGCCCATGCCAGACTCCGTCTAAATTTCTCTGCCCCTGTTTGTAGATTAGATGTACGCTCTCAGCTGCTGCTCCAGGGCCGTGGCTGCCTGCCGGCTGCCATGCTCCCTGCCATGAGGGCCATGAATTCATCCTCTTAAACTGTAAGCAAGGCCCCAGTTACACGCTTGCTCATATAAGTCGCCTCAATTATGGTGTCTCTTCACAACAAGACAGTATCTAAGACAGCTGGTCCGCTGCAGAGCAGTCCTCAGCCGTTAGGGATTGGGACACTCAGGCTTTCCCCCTGAGGCTTAGTAACAAAGTTCTTTGGTCGGAACTGAAGCAAAGCCTTACTTCGAGCCTCTTCACACACCTCCAAGTGCTGGGGACGGAGCTTCTCACTGGTTAGGGAAACGCTGCGACCCTCAGCAGCAGTCCTTGCTCCCCTCCTCACCAGACGGTGACCTTTGGCACATTGCTCAACATCTCCTTAGCTGCGGGGTTGTCTCCCCTCAAAATGGGATTATAATAATACTGATATCACAGGTTTATAATGAGCTCTAAAGACCCAACAAATAGTAAACATTTGACAATGTTTGCATTGTTTTGCTGTTTTGTTAGTGTGTCATCAGTTGAGCTAGGCCTGGCTAAATTTTGAGTTACACTCCCCATTAGCTTCCACATAGGGGAAAGAGCCTGAAACAAACAATATGACCAACAAACCTCAAAGCCTGTACTACTGTCAACTCAGTAATAGCCTTCCCATTTGCTGAGCTCTTCAACTGTTTCTTAAGCAGCATCATTTGAGAATTGCATTGCTCTGTGACAGGACAACAACAGTATCCAGATGGAGACAGAAAATCACAATCAATCAGAATGCAGAAAACAAGTGACCATGTGGTGGCTGGCCCCAGCTATCCATCTACCACACAACTCCTGCACCTGAGGCTCAGGAGTCATGATGGAAGAGAAAGGAGCTTGCCGGGAGACTGCCTCTCTGAGAAATGTCAGGGAATTCTCATAAAGAATGAGACACCAGGAAGCAGAAAGGACTGTTTGTGATCAGACGGCACAAACAAGACAGAACAGGAAACATCATCCTATCCATCCGCCTGCAAGGCCCCTTAAACAAGGGGGCGGGGAGAGGTGCTGTGCGCTGTTTTCCCAAAGTGCACAAATATGTTCTGTGGAAAAGGACAAGAGTTCGCTTAGCTTACCACTAGTGATCACAAATAGCCAGACTCTACCACACATCAGTTCTGTCCCTCACAAGATCAAGGCTCTAAACATTAGGAGCCCAAACCACAGAGCTAGGAAAACACGGGTGAACTTGGTCTGCAGCCAAGTGGGGGGGGGGGGCACCTTTAATCCCAGGCAGAGGCAAACTGACCTCTAGGTTCAAAGCCAGCCTGGTTTACAGAGTTCCAAAAGAGCCAGGGCTACACAGAGAGATCCTGTCTCAAACACACACACATACACAAACACACACAGATGTAAATTTTTGTGACCTTAAATTTGGCCAACAGTTTCTTAAACATAATGGAGTAGCAGAACGAAAAAAAGAAAAGAAAGAAAGAAAAGAAAGAAAACATAGGCAAATAGGATCTTTATCAACATTAAAAAAGGATACACACCAGGAAAAAAAAAAACTGTCTAAAAGACTTAGATCTGGTGTATAAAGAACTCCTCTGCATCAGTAATGAAAAGCCAGAACTAGGAGTTAGCTCAGTGATGACTGAACATATGCTTAGCAGCATAGGGCCCAGGATCCAATCTCCAAATAAACAAACAAGCAACTAACACAACTTAAAAGTGGAAGAAGTAGCTGACTAGATGTTATTCTGGAGACCATGCCAATAAAAACCCATGAAAAACATTCAACCTCAGTATGCCAATTAAAAAGACAATCGGCAACCAATGCTGAGGATGTGGCAAAGCTGGAATCCTGCAGGCCCTGCTGGGAAGAATTTAAAAGTGGGAGTCATTCTGGAAAACACTAAGGTTAGCTTCATGACCCAGCAAGTCCCCTCCAAAATAGATCCATAAACTCAGGAGTGTTATCCTCACCAAACCAGACGCCCATCAGCTGATGAAGAAAATGTAGCCAGTCTACAGAATGGTACTCTGCTATAAAACAAGAAACGAGGCTGAACCTAGAAAACATTATGCTAAGTAAAAGAAACCAGCCACAAAAGACCAGATTATATTTATAGAACACGTTCTAAATAGGTATAGCTCGTATTTGTCACAGCCAGCCTGAACAGAAAGCAGACAAGTGATTGCCTAGAGAGAACAAGGGGAGCTGGTGCTCAGCACAGGGTTACTTTTGGGGATAAAATAAATGCTCTGAAATTTGTGGGGATGACTATGCTGTATATATATGGGATGTATGTATGTATGTATGTATGTATGTATGTATGTATGTCTCAGGCCCTTAAAAGTTTTGGGGTGATAGAAATGTTATAAATTTTGGCTGTTGTGATATTATTGGGGTGTATATACTTGTCAAACATCACCACAATGCACAAGGTAAGTTAATTCTTTGTGGAACTCTGCCTCCAGGTGCGGAAGGCAGGAAGAAGCCCCGGGTGGGCTCCAGCAGATCAAGGCCCCAGGCAACAAAGGGAACACGCAGGGGAATTGGAGTCTTGTGCCTGAGCATCCCTACGCTCCTACTTGGTCTTCTCAGCTATCCTGGAATGCCTATTATTCCATCTTATGGGATCCCCCTGCCTTCCTGGACCTCATCTCCAGCCCCAGGCCTCTGAGACTGGAGTCAGGCTCTCGGGCAGGGAGGCCATATTTGGGTAGAACCCTTTGCGGCCTTAGAGATAACCTCGGCAGGGGTAGGGCAGCCCCACAGTGTAGCTGCTGCTGCAGCAAATAAGGATAGATAGCAAGACGGCCTCACCTCCGTCCTCAAGGAAACGGTCTTGTTTTTTCCACACTCAGAGCACACACTGTGAGGCAGGGGACTGACCGGCAGAGCGTGTGTTCAGTGCTGTTGAGTCACAGCCATCCCACGGACAGATATTACTCCTGTTCCTAGGTAACGGATGCTCAATTTGTAAGGAACCCACTGGTTAAATGAGGTAGAGGCTGGGATCCCTGCTGGCTGCCTTTCCCTGTGTGCTCCCCAACATGGATGTGAAAGAGACCCTAAATGCACCCCACACAGAGCCTTCATGGAGCAAAGCACTCTCCTTTCCAGAAAAAGAACTATCCACCAAGTCCCAGCCACCACGTGAGGGGCTCCCTGGACAGAGGTGGACAGACAGGCTGCCTTTGGCTGCAGTAACACTCTCAAGAGTTTAGGATACTCATACCAGGTTTGGATCCGTTTACACAAGGCCAAGGTGACGGCCAAGGAGAGCAGAGACGAACCCTCCAGAAAGGCCCGTTCTGGAGGGAACACGGCTGCTAACTGCGTAGAAATGGCTGATTTGCAGAACTGCAGACTCCAAGGTCTCGAAAAGGACAAGAGCGCATGGCCTTCACTTTCACACTCCGGTCTGTGCGGCTCTGCTTGATCTCAGTAAGGACTCCCGTGTGCTGGCGATGCAGGTCAGCGCTGCACGCGGTGGGCGCAGAACTTCTAAGAGTCTACATCAGACTCCAGACTGAACATTGTCACGAGCAGTCAGTCTCGGGCTATGAATGCCTAGTCGTACACCTGGATTCAGGAACCACTGAATCAAAGGATGCTAAAAGAGCGGACACATGCAAAGTGAGGCTGTCCAATTCCCAACTGCCCAGTGTTCCAGTCGTGGGCAGCCCTGCTTTGTCTCCGCCTGACCACCTGTCCTTGTTTTCCAACTTCCTCCCTCCTCCTTCTCCCGCCCCTCGTGGTCCTCACCTCCCACCCTTCGCTGATATACCTGGGCACAGGCTGGAATAGAAGCCTTCTTTCTTGAGCATGATCAGCAGGGAGGCCCAGCCCAGGAGCACCGCGGAGAAGAAGAGGTTTTCCAGCACAGCTGTGCAAGCCATCCACCAGCGCCTTCCATACGCCTGCTTCAGTGTGGGGGCCATCGTGGCCAAGACTCTGCAGAGAAACAGAGCGCTGAGAGAAGGTCTTCCTAGCGGCCCTTGAGAAGGGTACTCCATCACGATGGCTCCTGAGACCCCTGAAGCCAACCCGAGAGGGAGCCTTCATGGAGGCCCCATAGCGCTGCTTTGGAGCTGGCTCCGCTCGCTCTGGCAGTGCCAGGGGCGAACGCGCCACTGGCCCGCAGAGCACTATCAGGAACTAGAAAGGTCTGGTCTGAGCGAAGCAACTTCCTGGCGCGCTGCCGGCCTTGCCTACCCAGGCCAGGGCGCACGGAGCCCGCTCCTGGAGCCAAACCCCAAGTTCCCAAAGTCTCCCAAAGCTACCAAAGGGCGGACCGTGCTCTCTAGCCACCGCTGGCTCACGGCTGGCCGGCCTCTTGCGCCAGATCGGACTCTCAGAAGCGGGCAGGAGGCGGAAAGGGAAGTCTGGGGCTAGCCAGAGACCCTCTATTCTTGTTACGCCTTTCATTCTACTCCTCTCCGGAGCCCGGGTAGGAAAACTCCTCCCGCTCGCCGAGGCCGGCGGCGCTCACGTCCCTCCTTGTCTCCTGGGCCAATCCCACAGCTGCCACGTGGAGGGAGACCCTGGGCGGGCCCGGTGGCACCCCGCGCGCCCCTCGCCCCGCCGCGCGCGCCTGGGGACGCGCCAACCTCAGTCCCGAGGAGAAGGCTCGGGCTCCAGCAGGAAGTCGGGTGCCTGTAGACTTTATAAGGACAGACTTTATAGGGCAGCGGATGGGGTGGCCGGCGGGCGGGTGTGTTTACCAGGGGGATGAAGAAATTCGAGCTCTCCAGGGCGCAGTAGCCACAGCCAGCCGTGGAGGCGATCTGACGCGGGGACACGGAGCGAGACCCGAGGGGACAGACAGAAAAGCAAGCAAGAAAGACGAAGGGGTAGGAGACACTAGCCCCTTCTCTGGTCGGGGTGGCTCGGCCCCTCATGTGTAAAATGGGGCTTTCGATTCAGGGATCCCAGAGGTCCCTTCCCACGGCGACAGCCGTGGCTCTAAACAAACAGGGTGGACGAGAAGAGAATGGAGGGGTCGGGCAGAGGCGACAATGTGCCCGGGGACTCAGGTAACGGTCGCTCCGTGGGGACCTGTAAGTGTGGTTGGGCGACTCTGAGCGGCGGTAGCTGCTCACCTGCTCACCTGTCCCCAGCGAACTTGCCCCCCGCAGCTCTTGACACCCGGGGTAACACAGAGCCTTCGCGGCGGTTCCACACTCCGGCTCTCCGGAGACCCAGGATCTCAATCCCAATTCGCATCCACGCGGGGCTCTTTCCCGCCAGAGCCAGCGGGGCTCGGAGCTTCGGCTCCACCGCCCGCCGGTCTCACCTCGTCTGCGCCCTCGGAAGAAGCGGAGGATCTGGGGTCCGGGTGCCACAGGTCCGGGAAGCATGGACTACGCGATCAGCTGAGTTGATAGCTGTATTTACAGGCGTTGGGAGCAGCGCCCCAAGGTGGGGGCGGGGGTTCCCGTCCCTTCCCCACCCCTTAGGTCGAGTTTCAGGCACACGTGACTGGCCTGTTGGTCCCTAGACACTCTGCTTACCCAGTACGCCCCGGGCGCCTGCACTTCCTCTCTCGACCCCCACCTTCTCTGTTGACCGTCTGAACTACGGTTTGACAGCATTCTCTGCATCTTTGTTCAAAACAAGCGAAGACTCGGCTGGTGTTGGGCTGGGTGCTGGAAAGGCTTGGGTGGGGTTTTGAACTGTGAGGTCGAAAAGGAGTGTTTTCTGAGAGTCAGAACTCTTCTGCAGCTTATATGCTCCAATTAAGAGTTGAGTTTTGAAAACCGATTAACTGCTTTACCTCGGGCAACTTAACCTTTCAAAGTGTCAGTTCCCTTCTCGGTAGATTTGGATAGCAGTAGAATGGGCCTGCCTGCCAAGAGGAATTAGAGTTAGGGTGCAGCTGTGATGCCGGGTACACTTGAGAGGGCGAGCAGTATAAGGGCTCATTGTTGAGGCTGTTATCATTTCCGAAGGACTCAGATGGATCAGGTGCTTCTAGTCCCTAAAGGATTGATCTTTTGGTAAACCGTTCAGCCCACCTGGACTCAGTCTCCTCATTTACAAAACAGGGAAGGTATTCAGTACTTATTTGGACAATGGTGCAGATTAAGGAAATAATTATGCTAAAGGAAAATAAGGATGTGGGTTAATTCGGGACATTAAGAATGAAAAGGAGCGACTGGAAGTGGTAGTGTGTCTTTAATCCCAGCACTCAGGAGTTCAAGTCTGCAGAGTGAGTTTTAGGACAGCCGGGGCTGGACACAGAGAGACTTTGCCTCAAAAATAAATAACTAGATAAGTGAAACAGTGGGGCTGATAAAGTGCCGAGCTTCCAGGTTCCATCGGAAGTAAAGCACAAACTGGGGTTGGTGGTGCATGTCTATAATTCTGACATGGGGAGGCAAAGGCAAAGGGATCAGAAGTTCAAGGTCATCTTCAAACTGCAAGTTAGAGGCCAGCCTGGGCTAGGTGAAATCCCGTCTCAAAATAAAGAGAGCTGCTGGTGGTGTTACAGAGCTCTGAAGGAACATGATACAGGGCAGAGTTCCACAGAGGCACCAATGAGGAGCTCCTGGCTGCCTGAGCAGCTCCGCTCCATACCAAGAAAGGCGATGACATTGCCAAGTGGCTATGATATGATCAGACTTTCCAAAACAAAAGTTGTTAAGTGTGCGGTCCATCGCAGTGTGCTCCCGGCCCCACGAGCTCTCGCAGACAGCAAGCAAGGGCTGCAGCGAGAGCACAGTGATTGCAGGTTGTCACTGTTCTGCTGTTTTCATTCCGGCGAGCCAGGTGAAGGAACAGCAAAGCAAAATCTTGGCAGTGGAAAGGCACAGGGAGTTCTCTGGCAAAAGTACGTGTGTCAGCCTTTGATGGGTTTACGTCTTAAAATGCCTCGCTGGCTTCAGAGTAGGGAGTGTGGCTGGTAAAGCTCGTGCATTAGTTTGTGTTCCATTCTCGAGAGACAACACAGACACACAAATACATACATACACACACACACACACACACGATACACATATATATACATACACACATATATACATACATACACATATACATACACACACTCCACATATATATACATATACAAACACACATATACATACACACATATACCTACACACATATATACATACACACATATATATACATACACACATATATATACATACACACATATATATACATACACACATATACATATAAACATACATATACATACACACATATATATACATACACACATATACATACACACACTCCACATATATATACATATACATACACACATATACATACACACATATATACATACATACACACACTACACATATATATACATATACAAACACACATATACATACACACATATACCTACACACATATATACATACACACATATATATACATACATATATATACATACACACATATATATACATACACACATATACATATAAACATACATATACATACACACACTACACATACATATATACATACACACATATATACATGCATACACTACACATATATACATATATACATACAAGCACACATATATACATACACATATACATACACACACTACACACACACATTTTATATATATATAAATATATACATGCACACACACACACACACACATATATATATATATATATATATATATAT